ATGTTTGAAATTTTCCATAATTAAAACTTTTATAAAAGATCAAATCAGGGACAGATGTTTGGCCAGCAGAGCACCTGGATTTGATTCCCCACCTTAGCTCCTGACTCCAAGCTTCTCTCTCTCTCTTTTTTTTTTTTTTTTTTAAGATTTTATTTATTTGAGAGGTAGAGTTACAGACAATGAGAGGGAGAGACAGAGAGAGAGGTCTTCCATCCAATGGTTCACTCCCCAAAGGGCTGCAACGGCAGGAGCTGTGCGGATCCGGAGCCAGGAGCCAGGAGTTTCTTCCCTGTCTCCCACATGGGTGCAGAGGCCCAAGAACTTGGGCCATCTTCTACTGCTTTCCAAGTCCATAACAGAGAGCTGGATTGGAAGAGGGGCAGCCAGGACTAGAACCGGTGCCCACATGGGATGCCGGTGCCACAGGCCGAGGATTAACCTGTGCCACGGCGCCAGCCCCCAAGCTTCTTTCTAATGCAGAGCCTGGAAGGCAACAAGTATGGCTCAAGTGGCTGGATTCCTGCCACCCGTGTGGGAGACTGGGAATGAGTTTTTGGCTCCCAGCTTCTTCTTTTTTAGGATTTTATTTATTTGAGAGGTAGAGTTACAGACAGAGAGAGGGAGAGAGACAAAGGTCTTCCACCCACTGGTTCACTCCCCAAATGGCCTCAACAGCTGGAGCTGGGCCAATCCGAAGCCAGGAGCTTCCTCCAGGTATCGCACGTGGGTGCAGGGGCCCATGCACTTGGGCCATCCTCCACTGCTTTCCCAGGCCATAGTAGAGAGCTGGATTGGAAGAAGAGCAGCCAGGACTAGAACCAGTGACCATATGGAATGCCAGCATTACAGATGAACGCTTTAGCCTACTACACTACAGCATCAGCCCCTGATTCCCAGCTTTGACCGGGCTCTGCCCTTGGCCTTTGGAGGCATTTGGGGGAGTGAACCAATGAATGGGAGCTATTTTTCTCTCAACTATTTAAAAAAATTAGCATATCACAAAAGCTATATGTTTATAAGAAGTAATTGTGGCCGGCGCCAAGGCTCACTAGGCTAATCCTCCGCCTGTGGCGCCGGCACCCCTGGTTCTAGTCCTGGTCGGGGCACCGGATTCTGTCCCGGTTGTTCCTCTTCCAGCTCAGCTCTCTGCTGTGGCCTGGGAGTGCAGTGGAGGAAGGCCCAGGTGCTTGAGCCCTGCACCCGCATGGGAGACCAAGAGGAAGCACCTGGCTCCTGGCTTCAGACTGGCACAGTGCGCCGGCCGCAACACGCTGGCCGTAGTGGCCACTTGGGAGGTGAACCAATGGAAAAAGGAAGACCTTTCTCTCTGTCTCTCTCTCTCTCACTGTCTAACTCTGCCTATCACACACACAAAAAAAAAAAAAAAAAAAAGTAATTGTAGGGGCCAGCGCTGTGGCATAGTGGGTAAAGTTGCTGCCTGTAGTGCTGGCATCCCATATGGCACCAGTTTGAGTCCCAGCTGCTCCAATTCCAATCCAACTCTCTGCTATGGCCTGGAAAAACTGTACAAGATGGCCCAAGTCCTTGGGCCCCTGCACCAGAGTTGGGGACCCAGAGGAAGCTCCTGGCTTTGGATCCGCACAGCTCCCACCATTGCGGCCAATTGGGGAGTGAACCAGTGGATGGAAGACCTCTCTCTCTCTTTCTCCCTCCCTCCCTCCCTCCCTCCCTCTACCTCTCATTCTCTCTCTCTCTCTGTAACTCTGAGTTTCAAGTAAATAAATAATCCTTTAAAAAAAAAAGTAATTATATATACTTCAAAGGATCTGGGTGTTGATGGTTGAAACAGATTTTTCTTTTAGATAGCCAGATACTTTACATTCAGTATATAGCATTTTGTCTTGAAGATAATTTTCAAGGATAAAGAAGTTAAGCTAAAAGAATTATTTCTCACTGTAGCCATAGTTTGAAAATGTCTACAAATATCCTGTCATCTCTTACTTCTTAGACTCTACTTGGAGAAAATGCACCAGTTTTGACCTTTTTGTTCATAAAAGATAATCACCATACTTCAGTCTAAGTGAAGCGCCTTTTTGTGGTGGACAATAGATGTGATTATTATATTATTTCTTCTTCAGAGGCCTTCTAGCTTTGCATTATGAGGCAGGCATTTGGATTTGATGGTGTTTTTTATCTGTTTCCAGATTTTACTTTATTAGCAAAAATGTTATTTCCACTTGAACGGCTGCTTTACTTTGGTTTGTGAAAGCAAAGGTTTTAAATATACATAAAAGGCTGAATATTTAAACATGCTCCAAGAATGTTCAAATCAGGTCATGTGCTCTTTGCAATTCAAATTTCATTTTTTTAAAAATTTGAATACTATTGAGATTTGGCTAGTAGTTTTGAAATAAGGTTTGCACCTTATTACTACATTAGAACAGTTAGGTTTACTTTCAAGATCTGCTTACACAGTCTAGAAAGTGATTTGGATATACTGAATCAAATTTTGTTGTAAGTTTAAATATTATTAAAGTATATATCAAATATGCATCTTAGGAATCTTCCAGTAAGGAATGCATAAGCCAGGCTGTGTGTGTGAAATTTTCTCCGAAGGGTGTAGGACCTCTAAAATAGTTTTAAGTTAATAAATCTCCCTTTGTTCATCTCGCTGTTGAGTCTCCTTTCCCATGCATTTTTAAACACAAATCCTTGTCCACTAGTAAAGAGGGACAGCCTAATTCTCTCCCTCTCACCTTCAAAAATCTCTGATGGAGATGGGTTGAAAGGGAGAATTCAAATGTTGGTGCTGGTGCTGGTGCTGGTGCTGGTGTTGAGAACTGCATGACTCCAGTGACTGAGGACTAACTCTGTCTACATATCAGACGCTTACAAATGCACTGCTGGAGGCCGGTGCCGGCGCTGTGGCGTAGCAGGCGAAGTGCCACCTGCGATGCTGACATCCCACGGGGGCACCAGCTCAAGTGCCAGCTGCTCTGCTTCTGATGCAGCTCCCCGCTAACGCACCTGGGAAAGCAGCAGAGGATGAGCCAAGTGCTTGGGACCCTGCACCCACATGAGAGACCTGGAAGAAACTCTGAGCTCCTGGCTTTGGCCTGGCACAGCCCTGGCCGTTGCAGCCATTTGGGGAGTGAACCAGCAGATAGAAGATATTCTCTCTGTCTCTCTGCCTCTCCTTCTCTCTCTCTCTCTCTGTAACTCTGCCTTTCACATTTGAAAGTTACACCCACTTTTTTTTTTTTGAAGATTTATTTATTTTATTCGAAAGACAAGAGTTACAGAGAGAGGTCTTCCATCTGCTGGTTCACTCCCCAGATGGCCACAGTAGCCAGAGCTGTGCCAATCCAGAGACAGGAGCCTCCTCCGGGTCTCCCAGTGGGGAACAGGGGCCCAAGGACTTGAGCCATCTCCCACGGCTTTCCCAGGCCATAGCAAAGAGCTGGATAGGAAGCAGAGCAGCTAGGACTCAAACTGGCGCCCATATAGGATGCCAGCACTGCAGGTGGCAGCTTTACCCACTATGCCACTGTGTCAGCACCAAAAAAAGATTTATTTGAAATGCAGAGCAAGAGAGAAAAAAAGAGAAAGACATCTTCCATCTTCTGATTCACTCCCCAAATGGTCACAACAGCTGGGTCTGGGCCAGGCCAAAGCCTGGGGCCTGGACAGCTAGGTCTCCTATGGAGATGGCAAGGACCCAAGCATGTGGGTCATCTTCTGCTGCTTTTCCAGACATATTAGCAGGGACCTGGATTAGAAGTGGAGTATCTGGGACTCAAATGAGTGTTCATATGGGATGCCAGAGTTACCATTGCAGCTTAACCTTCTGTGCCACAGTGCTGGCCCATTTTTGTCATTTAAAAAAATATATTTGTTTGAAAGAGAGAGAATTTTCCTATCTTTTTGATGTTTTGAAAATTGTGTTTGAATAATTATAATGGTAATTATAATCAAGAGATTTACTTTTAATACTTAGAAAATGTCTCAGGCAATCTTTAAAACTTTCTTAAATTTATAGAATTTCATGTCAGAGAAATAAGTGGTAATCAATAAAAACATTCAAGCATGAAATTACATTAAGATAAAATTATGTAGGGGAAATGGAGTGGAAGTGGAGATGTAAGAAAAGAGAGTGAAGTAAAACTTCTCTTACAAATTCCTGTTTTTAAAGTTTATTCATATGTTTTCTGAGAAGTAGATATTAAATTACTTACAGTATCTATTTTTCTTTTTTCATATTTTTTCTTTTTGAGATAGCATATTTTTAAATTTACATTATAGTCAAAGGCTTATTGCTCTACTAAAGAAAAGTTCAACAAGTAAAAAGTTAAAAGATTGCAGTTCAGGATTATAGGCAAGGGCTATACACAATCAAATGAGAAGATGTCTATTTCACTTACACAGTAAATTTTCAAATAGTCATAGATCATCAAGACTATATGAGTATATCATTCTTGTCAATTTGCTTGACAAAGATTTACAGCAATGTCCAAAACACGGCATTTGCAGAAAACCTGATCACACAAGAATTTCTTTTTTTTTTTTTTAATTTTTTAAAATTTCAGCTGCCACCTGTAAGGGAGAAATTGTAGTATTTAGAAAAGTAGTGAAACCATTACATATTGAAATGCCAGTTTCCTAATAGGTAGAAATTACGTACTTTGCAGCTGCTTTGACTTATGAAGCATTTAGTTCTTAACTTTTTTTCTTTTTTTAAAAACTTGAAAGTATAATGTCTTTATTTTTTAAGTTTTATTTAAGGCATATAAGTTTCATTTATTTCATATATACAGATTTAGGAACATGGTGATACTTCCCATCTTACCCTTCCTCCCTCCCATGATCCCACCCTGCTTCCTCCTTCAAAATGTGAAATTATTTTACGGGATACATGAGCAAATCTTGGAAGCCCACCAGCGCAGAGCATGGGTGGGTGCTGTGCGAGATCTTGAAGAAATGCGATGCATCTGTAGACTTCACCGTCCGACATAAATTAAGATGCTGCCTTTGTTCCACAGGACGGCCTGACGCCACTGCACTGTGGGGCGAGGAGCGGCCATGAGCAGGTGGTGGAGATGCTGCTGGACCGAGCCGCCCCTATTCTCTCAAAAACCAAGGTGATTCAATCTCCGCTGTCTAGAAACCAGACTGCATTTAGCTTTTACTTCCCTGGCTGTTTGTTTCACCCACACTTTGGAGTCACACAGAGAGGAACAACATTTAAATGTAGCAAGTGGAGAAGCTGTGTTCACCAAATCGTTGGAGTCAATTAAGTGTGGGCTTTTGAAGGAATGTGCTATTCCATAGTCATTTTTGTGTGGTATTGGTTTGTTTGGGGAACACTTACTGCTTGATTTACTCTATGAAAATTTCCTATCAGAAATGATTGCTTGTTGGGTTAAGAAAGATTAAAAGATCCACACTCTAAAGTCTAAATTTCTAGAGAGTTCACAGATGTTTAAAGAAACTCAGGATATGATTTAGCTGATAAAGACTGGGAACTTTGGGAAAACTGTACCTTCATTGGGCCTTTGGGAAAGTGAATATATCTGAAAGAAATGCATGATGATTGCCCAAAAACATAATGCTTTAATGTCTTTTAAGTTTTCTAGATGGTAAAATCATTTGGCACTATTTGAAAAAGAGACTAATAGCAAATAAATTTTGAGACATACAAATTACCCATAGTCACCAGTATTATTCATTGAATCAGTGGATTTGAGGAAGCTGTATTTAGCTTTATTACGAGTCTTAATTTATCAACATTATCAAAGCACCAGAAGCACCTGCTATTGCAGTTTGCATTCTTGTCAGTGTTTTCTCAACTCTAAGATGACTTGTCAGAGAGTCAAGAGAGTCTGAACTAGTCCATCACTCATTTGAGATGCAAATTTAAGACTGGGAAGCTGTTGGAAGTTTTATCCAATAGGACGAAGCAACCACCAATGTTTCACTGTACCTGATATCTTGGCCCTTGAAGTCCTTCATCTTAACCACTCTGGGTTTTATTTCCCCCCTTTCTTGCAGACACTATGTCTTTTCATCTCCACTGCTTGCTTCCCATTGTAATAGATGCATGCATTCTGCTTTTTCCATTTCAATCCAGTTCCCACTGTGCAGAGTAACCACAGAAACTGTTAATCAAATGACGCTAGCCTCCAGCTTAAAAATCTACCAGTTCATTCCCATGTTTTCTTTAAAATTAATTTCTATTTGTCAGAACAGTACAGGCATAGTTAAAAATCTAATATTACCTTTTTATTATTCAATCTTTATAAATTTATTTCTGGGAAGGAAATCTCCTTGTTTTTTTTTTTTTTCTTTTATGCTTTCAATTTTCAAGAACATTTTCTTATTATTTGGCAGCTTCCTTTCCTAAAGCACTCTGTTCTTGTTTTATGGGTACAATGTTTGTGATTCCTTTCTGAGAACATGCACCGTAAGGTTGATTACTTTCTGCCACTTCTATGTCCCTAGGTACCAGTTTCCTGTTTCCTCTGTTGTGGGGAGCAATCCGGACTAGACTAAGTTGCTCGAATTAGGACTTATTCTATGCATCTGCTCTCCCACAATATGGCGCTGGGAGAGAAGTGAACAGCTTCCGCACAGCTGCCTCCAGTTCAACTAATAAACTGTAGGACTTGCTCCTGATTGGAGGAGAGCAGCGTACTCGGCGTGTGGGCAGCCGAGTTGGGATTGGCGGAGGAGGACTATAAAGGAGGAGAGAGACGGCATGCATCAGGAACATCTAAGGGGAACATCTAGCTGAAGGAACACCCGTGCAGCCCCCGAGAAAGCCGGCCGGCGGTGTGCCGCTCCCCTGCGGAAGTGGGGAATGTGGCCAGGGGGAACTGCCCTTCCACGGAGGTGGAAGGGATAGTAGCCAACCCGGGAAGAACCAGCAGCAAACCCGGGGAGGGCCGAGCAGACGAAAGAACAGCGCAGGGTCCTGTGTCGTTCCTCCACGAAGAGGGGGAGCGACACTCTGTGTTTGCTCTTTTCTGTTGGAGGATGCCCACAGATGCCTGGTATCTATACCAGGCACTAACTGAGCCCAGCTTTGCGAGAGTGCAAGGCGGAGCTGACAACCAGGAGGTGGTGGACGGAGGGACCTTCTGATCTCAGAATCGGATGCCCCCCTTTCATTGGAGCATTCAGTTTTTGGAGAGACAAATCCTCCGACTTTTTCAGTGCACACTTGTGTGAATCCTTTCTGAGAAAGGAAGAGAAGCTTCCAGTTGTCTTATTCTCTCTGCAAACTTTAATCATGCTAACAGTCGATACCGATATAGTGACTACTGCATACCAGGCTCCCAACACTTTACATGTGTAACTCAGTGCTCACCATACCTCTAGGAGATACCCGGATTGCTGTTAGACCCCTTTCATAGAAAAGTGAAGTGAAACGCAAAGAGGTAGAATAGTCTTCTCAGGATCTCTTGGCTAGTGGCAGAACAAGGACTTGGACCCAGGCAGTCTAACCACGGAGGTCCATGCCTAACGCTTAAACCATCCTTTCTCGATCTCTGATCACCTGTTCTCTGTCAAGAGCCCCCACACTGCTCTATATTCTGCCTGGGCCCCCGAGGCTGAATCTCTCTGACTCATCTTTATACACCAGGTTCTTGGTTTCCTGCAGGGCACAAGGGGTTGCCATCTGGCTTTGTTGGGTCGAGCAAGGCCTAGAAGCCTGACAGCTCCATAGGCAGCCTTTGAACCAATCCTGCTTTCATCCTAAGTCTCGTCTCATCTTCCAAGGTACTCTTTTTCTCACACCCCTTTGTAGGATGTGAGAAGTAAATCAGCTTGTCATTGTTATAGCCAGCAGTGTGCTGGAGCCAGATCATACGGGCTCATAGGCGCTGACTGTGTACATCTCTTCTCAATTCCACATTCAGTGATGTCACGTTGCGAGCCTGAAATCAGTCCTGGGGGACTCTGTACACCCTGGCCATGGCATCTGGTACAACTGAGGCTTTTCATTTCAAGGAACTGGTTGTTCAGCAAAGCCCTGACGACACCCTCCACACACACACACGTGGGTCTCAGCCTTCTCTCTTCTGCTGGATGCGTCATCAGCATGAATCATCTTCATATTTTATGCATGTAGATGTCACTCCTCTGTCCTTGGTTCCTCTCTCACTGTGGATGTGGGAAGGGGACAGGATACAACTTATGTGTACCCTTGGGAATTTTACCCTTTTTAAAAAAGATTTATTTATGTATTTGAATGTGGAGTTAGAGGAGAGACAGAGAGAGAGGTCTTCCAACTGCTGGTTTACTCACCTCAAGGAGCTGTTTCTGGGTCTCCCACGTGGGTGGCAGGGAACCAAACACTTGGGACGTCTTCTGCTGCTTTCCCAGGTGTATTAGCAGGGATCTGGATTGGAAGTGGAGCAGCCAGGACTTGAACCAATGCCCACACAGGAAGCCATTGTCTCAGGCAGTGGCCTAAACCAGTGTACCACAACAGCAGCCCCAGGTTTTACTCTTTAAATTCTGTCACTGGCTGGTGTTGTGATGCAGTGGGTTAAGCCACTCTGCAATGCCAAATTCCTATGCCTGAGAACCAGCTCAAGCCCTGGCTGCTCTGCTTCCAATAGGTCTCCCTGCCAATGCACCCAAGAAAGCGGCAGAAGATGGCCAAAGTACCTGAGCCCCTGCCACCTACATGGCAGGCCTGAATGAGGTTTCTGGCTCCTGGCTCCAAAACTGACTGGGCCTGGCTTTTGCAACCATTTGGGGAGTGAATCAGTAGATGGAAGATCTCCCTCTGTATCTCTTTCTCTCTCCCCACCCCGTGTTACCCTGCCTTTCAGATAAACCAATCTTTTTAAAATGTCCTTTCCTGTTTTGTGGTGGAGTCTTGGGAGAGGAATGGTCAATAACCACGTCGACCAAGTTTAACCAGAAGTTCCCCTCCCTGCGAATTCACTCCGCTTCCAGATTCTGACCGCACCTCTGCCTCCTCTCCTCCCATCCTGCTCCTAACCGACTACTTCCCAGCTGACCTGCCTCTTCTCCTTCCTGGAAAACCCCAGGCCAGGCTGCTCCATTTCCTCCTCCCTCGGCGTGGGCTGGATCTCTGAGGCCTTCGTGCGTTCTTCAGCTCAGATGTCACCTTCTCCTCGGGCCTTCTCTCCTCTTTCTCTTTTTTAAAGAACATTAAGTTTTTAAAATTTGATTTTTATTTGAGGGGCAGAGAGAGAGCGCTCCTGTCCTCTGGCCAACTCCTCGAATGCCTCAGTATCTCTGGGGGCTGGGAATGCAGTCCCAGGCCCCCACGGGGATGGTGGGGACTGCTTGCTGCAGTCGTCATTTGCTGCCTCCCTGTGTGTGTGCGCATTAATGAGTAGGAGGTCAGAGTGGGGAGTGATGAGCCTGGGCACGCTGAAAGGGGCGTAGGCATCTCAACTGCTGTCTTGACAGCTAGGCCAAACGCCTGCCCCAGACAAGGTTTTTCTGACTCTTGCTCTCCCTTCAAGCACTCCCCGATTGCTTGTCATTTAACCGTATGCCATTTTCTTTAGCACTCTCGATGCCATCCTGAGATGACCTCTTCATGCCTTGTTGCTGTCTGACCCTCTCCAGTAAGATCACAGCAAGAACTCTTCTCATTCAGAGTTGCACTCCCGAGCACCTAGGTTCATGCGCAGCCCCGAGGAGCCCTTCAGCACACATTGGCTGCATGGCTGTGAGCTGAGTGAATACATTTCTGACTTCAAGGCAACCTGTTCAGTTCTGCAAGACTTTTGTCTTAGTGAGCTAAGAAAGCCTGTCACACGGATCCACATTTTTAGGCACCATATGTTATCAGACCCCCTTTTCAAAGGAGAGATGATCTGTCCATTCTTCTTGTGCTTCCCCAGCGACCTCTGTTTCCTACCTGTGCAGCACTACGGGTATAGCTCCCTTCTGTTACCCACACTTCTCCCATTCCCAGTCTCCACCAAGTCGTGTGTTTTCTCAGATTCTGCTGCCTTCTTTACCTGGTGTTTCCCTGTAAGACTCTACCAAAACATAAAGCAAAGGAGTATTTCAGCAGGAATAACTAAGTGTGTATGTTCGTGGGTGGCAACATCTCACATGGGATGTGATCCCATCCTTTGCTGCACCTTAAAGAGGGTTTACGTTGTTTTCTCGTGTCTTGAGCTCCTGTCATTTCCTTTGTTGATAAATTAGGAGGAAATAGCCTGGCCCACAGAATCCAGGAACACCCGGTTCATCATTGCATATTTGGTATATTCATCAAACGACAACTTTTTAGAAGTGAAGTTTTCTGCCAGTTTACTTTTTTCCCCCAAAACATGTTAAATTGTGCCACAATAATTAACAGATCTTTTCTTGGTAATTGGATTCTCTAGAAATTTGGCAGGCTCCTCCCCTCACTTTGACTCTAAGAGAATTCTAGGCTGCTTTTAAGACTGACACAGTTGATTTGCTTATATTTAAGGAAACGTGTTGAATGCTAAAATCGTGGGGACCTTTTTCAGATTTTATTTACCTTTGTGCTTATTTGTTTCTTAGTTCCTTCAATGATTTTCAATTCATTACTACTTCACATGATTAATTGTGTTATAGAACCCAGTTGATTTAAATGAACTGAGGCAAAGATTAAATGAGTTGGCCAATGCCTTGTCTTTCCTCATCATAGACACATGGGGGCACCAGATTTATAGAAATGTTTTCTGAATTGATGTGAGAAGAGATGAGGTGTATTCAGACCCATTGTCTTTTTAATATTTATTTTTTTTAAATCCAATTGCTATAGTGTTCAGTATCAAGTCTCAGTAATCAGTTTGGAAAAAATAAATACCAGCCCAAGCAATACCAATCTGTTCTTGACTATATTTTTTTCATACTTAAATATTAAGAATTTCTATAATTCTATAATTAAGAATGCAGTAAATTATAATTCGTAGTGTGATTTTCACTGCTTTTGCAGCAGGAAAATAAATTATCCTTGACAATTTGTTATTGATTGACACAAGAAGTAGGAGGACCATTTTTAAAAGTAGCTGTAGTCCCAAACAGTTGTCAACACACTTTAGACATAGAAGATTGGAGCAGGTGTTTAGCCTAGCAATTAAGATGCCGGCATCCCACATCAGAGTGCCTGGGTTCAATTCCCTGCTCTAGCTCCTGACTCCAGCTTCCTTCCAATGCAGACCACGTAAGACAGAGTGACAGCTCAAGTACTTAGGTCCCTGCTGTCCATATGGGAGACCTGGATTGAGTTCCTGGCTCCAGGCTTTAATTCTGGCCCATCCTCAACCAGTACATGCATTTGGGGAGTGAACCTGTGGATGGGAGCATACTCACTTGTGCTCTCTTTCTTCCTCTCTCCCTCTTCCCACCTCTTTGTCCCCTTTCTCTCTAACACTCAAATAAATAATAGTAGTGAACAAATAGAGTATTTTTCATACAGAAAACTAGGGTTTTTATCTGTTCACATGTGTGCTTTATTTTGTGTTTGGTGCATTTGCATTTAAAAAGATAGTACACCTGATTTCCTTATGTGTTCCAGAATGGACTGTCTCCATTGCACATGGCCACGCAAGGGGATCATTTGAATTGTGTCCAGCTTCTCCTCCAGCATAACGTGCCTGTGGATGATGTCACCAATGACTACCTGACCGCCCTACATGTGGCCGCCCACTGTGGCCATTACAAAGTCGCCAAGGTTCTGTTGGATAAGAAAGCTAACCCCAATGCCAAAGCCCTGGTGAGTGGCTCAGCCAACACGTGCAGCCTAAGTTTTCTTGTGACAGCGGTTACCTCTGCATGTAAAAGGCATTGCTTTCACAGAGTTAAGATGGAAATACTTATCCAGGAAAGTCTACTTCTTGTCAGTTTTTCCAAATATTCTTCTGAGAAATTTATAAAACCTGCTGTTTCTGATATGAACAAGGTTTATAGAGTTTTTCTGCTAACTCTTTATGATTACACTAGTGCTCCTGTTATATGAATGAAACCCAGGGCCAGCACTGTGGAGCCACAGATTAAGACGCTATCTGTGATGCCAGCATCCCATATGAGCACTGTTTCCAATCCCAGCTGCTCCACTTCTGACCCAGGTCCTTGCTAATGTGCCTGGAAAAGCAGTGAAGGGTGACCCTAGTACATGGACCCCTGTCATCCGCAGCAGAGACCTAGATGGAGTTCCAGACTCCTGGATTCAGCCTGGCCCAGGTTCAGCTGTTGTGGCCATTTGAGGAATGAATCAGTGGCTGGAAGATCTCTTTCTCGCTCTCGTTCTCTGCAACTCTGCCTTTCATATAAATACATAAATATTTTTAAAATAATAAAATAATTGAATCCCAAGACTATATAATCATAAAATTACTGAAGTAATCAGCCTCATCTTGTTCCAGGTAAAGTTATCATTCTGTGAGTGGGAAGTTTTTTTCTGAAATTTGAAACCAGGAGGCAACATGATCACAAAACTTGATTTTAAACATCAGAAGTCTGGAATTTGTGAGCTGCAATTTGATATTGCGCTAACCATGTAAATGAATGAAATACTGTCTATCTTCTTCTTTTCCCTGTTGATACCAATGAAAATATTGGTCAAATTTATAGTCTTAAGTCCTAAAACGATTTGCTGTTTTAACCATTAGCAGTGCTGTACTTAGTATTCTCAGTTGGATAGTGTATATTGTCTTTGGAAAAATACATGGTCCCCATCTAGTCAAGTATTTAAATTTAGTTCAGCATGAGCACCCATGTGTAGGAAAAAGTAAGTCACCATATTTTAGGGAAAACATGGACATTTTCTGGCAATTTTGGTTCTGTCAGCCCTTCTAGGAAGGGTCTCTGCTCCAACCCAAATGATGGTGTCACCCTGTCTACACACACACACAGTGCCCTGGTGCTCTCTGGGCTCTGAAATTCGGAGTGGGTGGAAAAGAAGGACAAGAGAGGAAGCTTCTAAACTTCAGCTCCACTGCCATCATTCTAGAAGATTGCTCTGAGTAACATTTCCAGAGCCATTGACCTGGCCAGGGTGTCAAATGTGCCTTAGAGTTCTCAGAAAGGAGGAAGAGAAATTAGCAATCATGACTCATTTTTCCATATAGGAAAAAAAAGTCTTAAAACAGGGTGTGGGCACTGGCTCTGAATTCTTCTGGCTCTGAAGATTTCATAACATCATACAGAGGTTGTAGCCAGTCATCCTGCAATGGGCTGTGGCCAAATGGTCTATGGAACCTCCCTGGAGGCACCCCTGCTACCTTTGACGTAAGCTTTTATGGTGCAGCCCAGTATTTTATAGTTCTCCAGTGGCACCTGCAGCATTTGCCATCAGCTCAATGATCAGCAAGGACAATTTGGTAGGCAATTTGTTAGAAAAGCAGGTTCTTTTATTAGATTAAATATTAAACCAAATGATCCACGTAATGTGGGGTTGTTTAAATACCTGCTTCCTTGGAGTGAGTAGCAACTTGAATCTTAAAGCTGGGGAAGAAATTTGAACAGTTTAGAGCTGGTCCTGTGGTCATCCTAGAACATAGCAGAGAGGTCAGAACAAGGGCTGGTGAAGCTTGCCAGTGAGGACAGATGGTTGGGCCCAGCTCTTCGTAGGGCATGTTTGAAGGGAGGTACGGGAGGGACATATTACTTGGAAGAGTGAATTCCAACATAAAGTAAAGCAATGCTTGACCATTTTGTTTTAGCTACCAGGAGATTGAAAACTTCACTTCCTGTTCTCACTTAGCAGAGCACCTTGGGTCTCAGGGGCACGTAGACTACCTCTGCGCCCAGAGGAGTCAACTTTCCCTTTCACCGCTCATAGCTCCTGATCACATGGCCGTCTTCACAGCACATTGTCTTAGCAAAAATAGTTGACTGCACACAGTGAGGTTGGCTTGTTTGTCCTTTGCAGAATGGCTTTACCCCTCTGCATATTGCCTGCAAGAAGAACCGAATTAAAGTAATGGAACTCCTTCTGAAACACGGTGCATCCATCCAAGCCGTAACCGAGGTGAGGGCGAAGGATATCTGGGGCTCCTGGGGCCGAGAACAGGAGCTCGTGGCCAGGGCCCCGGTACCTCTCTGGGTCCAGTGAGTCTTGCCAGTGTGTCAGTGGTGCAGACGTCTGAACTCTTCAGCATAAAGGACCGCCAGTCCTCAGGGGGAGCAGACAAGAATGTGGGTGCAAGTGTATCTCCTTGACTGAAAATAGAGCCCAAAACACAAAGGTCACACTCGGGGTGAGCAGTGCACCCACAGAAATTGTGATTGAGGTGAAATCTGGTAAAGTGGGGCTTCTCTAATGGGAGTGTATTTGTCCCCCCAAGAGGCTTTTGGCAATATCGGGAAGTGTTTTGGTTGTGATAACTGGATAATGCTACCGGTGTCTCTCAGGTGGAGGCTAGAGATACTACTAAACATTTTCACGAAGTATAGCACAGCCTCCCATGGCAAACAGTTGCCTGGCTCAGAATGTCCCCTGTGCCCTGTGAGAAACTCTGTGTAATACAACTTCTGTGTTTCTGTAAAGGAGGGATTGCTGTGTGTAAAAACTCCAAATCAACGAAAGTTAGTAAAGGACCAATTCTAGGTTTCTTTCATATAAACCAGTTCAGAATTCAGAGAAATGACCCATCAGAATCAGGGCTGGGACTTCAGTGTAGCAAACCAAGCCACGCATCTGCTGTCCGGCCAGACTTGTCCCACCTCCACCCACACCCTCCACCTCAGTAGCCATTTCCCAGTGTTCTGTGCTCATGGATCCCAGCCATTGTCACTTCCCTAGGTTAGACCCCCCGTTGGTTCACCTCTGTCTGTTCCTCTGTGAGTCACACCCCCTTTGCCAGGCTAATCCTGTACAGCCTTGAGGTACCCTCCACTCACTCCCTGGCCTGGACAAGGTGCTTCTTTGCAGAGCATCACCTCTCCCTGTGTGTGTTTCTCTCAAAGCACTTCTCCAAGTTTCTTACTCAGCCCCCAGCTACTCCAATACCTTCAACAGCATCAGGCTCCTTGGAAGAAGAGCTGGGTCTTATTGGTCTTTAGATGCCACACTGCCCGGCCCATGCACTGTAGCTCATTCAGTATGAACTCATGAATGCTGACTGCATGACTGTAGGACCAAAAGCAAATATAAAACTTAAAGTTCCGCCTGCTGATTGTTGCTTGGCTTCAGTTTCCCACCTGCAAATAGAACATGTGCCTTGACTACAGTTTTTAAATATCACATGGTTGAAAATATTAATATTGATTTGCACTTTTATGAGACCAAGAGCTTCATGTTAGACATCCTATTCTTTTAAGTATGACACAGAACAGTTCATTCTCGGTGTTTGAGAACTGCGTTTAAAGATCAGACTAGGCTCTGAAGGAAAAGCAGATTTTCGACTGATGTGTGAATCGGCATCTAGAGATGTTGGCCAGTGAGGAGACCCTCCCACAGCCATTCTGTGTTCCCTGAGAGCTTTCAAGGGCAAGACTTGGCCTTGCCCGAGTTCTGATGACTCCCCCTGCTGACGGAAAAGGTGCCAAACTGTCACTCAGTCCTTTTCCCCCTCATTTCCTTTCATTCTTCTCACTCTTTAAAGTCTAGCAGCCAGTTCCTCCTTGGCTCACTTTAACTTCACTTCTGTTGTAGAGGATTGTTTTCATATACTTTTGACATTTCTCAAATTTCTGTTGAAATTAAATATCTTCTCTCCTTTTTTAAAAAACAGGTTAGGTTTCCATGACCATATTAGATTTCTTTAAAAATCAAATTGTATTGACAGTTATGCTATAAGCTGAAGTACATTCACAAAAATTTGAGGTGGGATCATTTCACATTGAAAAACATGTAAATTCCACTTTTAATATGATTACTGACTTGGGATTTTTATTCTTTTTTATTTATCCACTCTACTTTAGACTTACAATCATGGGCATATTTGACATAAAGTTCTCCAGAATCAGTAAATTCTGCTTTATGCTGAATAGTTCTGGAAGGTGATGTGTGCATTCATGTGTATGTGTGTCTCATTGGAAGTAAACATAAAAACTGAAGTCTAGTCTAGTAACTATTGTGATGTTTGCCTTAATTACATTGCTTTAATTTATAATACTCATAAAGTTAAAACATGATTGAAGTTACCCATGCCGATTTGTTCATTTATTAGAGGATGGCTCCGTGATAGGCCCTACTTTTTGATTTGTAATATAGTTGTCTATTCTGAGTGCATGGGAATCCTTTTTAAAGCTCAAAATGGGATCTGAGGGGCTGACATTGTGGTTCAATGAGTTAAGGCACCACCTGCAATGCCAGCATCCCATATTGTTGCTGGTTTGAGTCCCTGCTGCTCTAGTTCCAATCCAGCTCCCTGCTAATGCACCTGGGAAAGCAATAGAAGATGGCCCAAGTTCTTGGGCCCCTGCACCTACAAGGGAGACCCAGACAGAGTTCTAGGCTCCTGGTTTCTGCCTACCCCCAACCCAGCCATTGCTGCCATTTGGGGAGTGAACCAGTGGATAGAAGATGTATCTCTCTCCCTCTCCCTCCCTCCCTTCTTTTCTCCCTCCCTCCCTCCCTCCCTCTCTCTCTCTCTCTGCCTTTCAAATATATAAAATAAATCTTTAACAAAAATAGGATCTGAAATGAAAGCTGTCTACTGATGTGTGTAGAATTTCATTGCCCTCTTCCCATAATATATTCATATTGATATGGAAGGTTTAGTAGGAAATGAAAAAAATTCACTTTCACGTTCTTAATTTTTTTTCACAAACCTTTATTACAAGAAGTAAGAAATGGATGTGACATAGGTCTTTCATAATCCCAGAACTTCCTTTAGGGAAATGATGATTGATTATATGTTGACATATTTGCCTTATAGAATGTTTGATAAAATGGTGAATGTCCTGATACCTTCTAGGCTGATCGCTAAACTGTTAACATAGATAGATAGATAGATAGATAGATAGATAGATAGATAGATAGAAAGATAGATAGAAAGATAGATAGAAAGATAGATAAACTGGTTAAGATAAATAAATCAGGAGACTGGTTTAGAAAGATCACTAAACTGGTTAAGATAGATAGAAGAGGAAATAGATGGATGGGTGATGGATGACAGGCAGGCCGACAGGCCTGTGGACAAAGCTTGCCTATATTTAATTTTTATGAATTTGGACGATAAGCCAACAAACCAACATTTCCTTTGTTTCCCCTTAGTCGGGCCTTACCCCAATCCATGTTGCTGCCTTCATGGGCCATGTAAATATTGTATCGCAGCTAATGCATCATGGAGCCTCACCAAACACCACCAACGTGGTAAGTATCCCTCTTTAACAAAGATCCAATTGTGCATATTTAAGCAAGTGGCAAGGGTGGCTTTTAAGCACTTACTTTTGTTAAGTTATTTGACTATTTAAGGTGGCAGAATTTGAGAATACCTTTAGATTTCCTTTACCTTGAAGGCAAAATCCTTTTAGTTACCAGCTGGCCACAAACTGTAAGGATTTATGACTGTGTCCAGTAACCTGATGGGTATGTAGATTGGAGGGTTTCTCTATAAAAGAAGCATTAAAAAGTGCTGCATGGTGAGGAGGTGGTTTGGACACTGTCATCGTGTAGATAAAGTATCTCATGTAACTCCAAGGTAATCCCATGTTCATGTGCTTCTCAGTGGTATAGCAAATCCCTGGAACCCTGAGCTCGTGGCTGATCAGCACATGTTTTTTTCCCTGCACTAAGCATCGCTCTGTCAGAACCATGAGACTCACTTCAGAGTACATCTCCAAACAGTAACTTAGCACCCTAGATCCACGTGTAGCAATTGACATTGTTTTACAGGGCTTCAAATTTGAGGTCCTCATGGTATTAGCATACCAGGCCACAAGCATAAGACTGATTACCTCGTAAGCACTAAAGAGCTGAAAATAAAGCAGGCCACACGCTGGCACAGAAGGGCCAAGCCCTCAGCTCCTGCACAGTCAGCTGCGCAGGGCCTCCCCAGTGAGGCGCTGCCTCTTCTAGCAGCCCCCATCAATACACCCACAGACAGAGGCGGGCCAGTTTCTCAGGCGCAACGCTGTCTTTCCTGCTACTGATTCCAGAGCATGTTTTGTTCAAAAAGAGAACACTGGGTAATAATCTAAACAACACCCTCAGCCCCACCCAGTAAGCACAATACCAAGATTCCTGTGAAATCTGCCTACGTGCGTCACTTCCATGGAGGCAGGTGGCCAGTTCAGCAAACTCAGTCTATGAAGGGACTTGCAAAAGTTCATGGAAAATGAAAATAAAAGATGAGTCTATTTTGGTGCAAAAATATTATGAAACATATGAGTATTTTTTCATAAACCCAAATTTCCAGGAAATTTTTGAAGATCCCTTGTATAAAAGCAACTTAAAAGTGGGCATCACTTGTGTGAGAAAATCTATTTGATTTATGCTACTTTTACATTTCAGTGTATCCATGTTTTTGCATTGTTTGCATTTTTTATTGGATAAATGAATAAATAATATGAATGAAATTTTTGGTGAAAAGTTGGGGGGTTGAGGACCAGTGGCTGAGAAAATGGCCTCTAGGAGTAATGCCAAGGTCTAGGATATTGATTTGATTAGATTAGAGCAGGTGATGTAGACCAACCATAGACAAACCAAATAGGGCCTTCACATGTGTTTTCCGTGTCCATGCAGTATTTTGTTCATTCTGATTTCATGGTCAGCATCTAAGAATTGGGAAACTTACTCAGATATTCAGACTTCTACTTTATTTGAAAAGTGGGAAGGCATGACCTGACAAGGTTGCATCCTGCACCATTACAATGGCCATTTGCAGATACAAGGTGGCGGCCGACCACTTTTGAGCCGGTCTGGTGCTCTCCTGTTGAGCTCTCCCCACCTGATCTGGGTCACTCGTCTGCCTGCTTGTTTGCCCCTGTGAGCGTTCACTTTTCATCCTCCAGTGAAGCCACGCTCATTCCCTGAGCAGCTTCTGCTACTGCTGGTGACTGGGCTCCCTGGGCTAACACCTTGTCATCATAGGTCTCTTGTGAAATTCCCATGTATTCGATTTCTCATCTTTTCAATCAGAAGTCCTTAGGATTATTTTGTTTCTTTTTTAAGTTCATTGCAAGCTTTATACCAAATAAAACATGCCACTATCCTTCAGAGCTGCAGCTAATTGACTTTGGCTCATGTTCCCCAGAGAGGAGAAACTGCACTGCATATGGCAGCCCGGTCTGGCCAAGCGGAAGTTGTGCGGTATCTGGTGCAGGATGGAGCTCAGGTAGAAGCTAAAGCCAAGGTATGTGCAATGCAGGAAAGTGTTTGCAATCGTGGGGAAAACCTTGGAATTTAATAAAACCTTAAACATAACCATGATATTTTTCAAGAGCATTTGTTAAAAGTAGTGAACAACCTCTATTGACAAAAGTCTCTACCCAAGTAATATTGTAAAAAACTTTTTCTCTAATTGCTTACTCAGTTATTCAACCAAATTACATGAACAAGAACTTTGTGCCATAAGATCTCCTTGACACACTGCTAGTCCCTAACAGATTAGGAACTAGTTTAGACTTTGTCCAGAGTTATTTGCACTCCAGGGAGAAGAGCTTATGCTCAGAGCTTCTAGAACAAGCACACCATAGAAGTATTGAGCTCTTTTGGTTAAATGAATGTCACAACCACGAGAAGAAAAAGGAAAAGGAAGTTTTCTGCTTTTTTTTTTTCCAGCTGTAAAACATAAACCCTGAGATTCAGATCAGAGTTGCTTCTGGTAAGAGGAATTGCCATGGTTGAGTTTGGGTACTTCCTAGTCTGCCTAGTATTTAGCCTCCAGTAGAAACCCATGGATCTGCCACTGTCAGGAAGTGTGATTGGTCTGGTTATCAGAATGGCAATTTCAGAGAAGAATCATAAATAAGTACATAAATATCTTTTTTTTTTCTTTTCTTTTCTTTTTTTTTTTTTTTTTTTACAGGCAGAGTGGACAGTGAGAGAGAGAGACAGAGAGAGAAAGGTCTTCCTTTTGCCGTTGGTTCACCCTCCAATGGCCGCCGCTGCAGCCGGCGCACCGTGCTGATCCGATGGCAGGAGCCAGGATCCAGGTGCTTTTCCTGGTCTCCCATGGGGTGCAGGGCCCAAGCACCTGGGCCATCCTCCACTGCACTCCCTGGCCATAGCAGAGAGCTGACCTGGAAGAGGGGCAACCGGGACAGAATCTGGCGCCCCAACCAGGACTAGAACCCGGTGTGCCAGTGCCGCAAGGTGGAGGATTAGCCTATTGAGCCACGGCGCCGGCCTAGTACATAAATATCTTGACCATTTCATTTAAACCCACAATCTATTAAAGTACATTTATTTACCATTTATTTGTATGCTGTATAGTTTCTACTTTCAGGTTAAATAAAGAAAACTGAGACATTTGCAAAGCAGTTTGAGTACAGAGGATACCTAGACTTTTCTAATTCTCTCCAGGCATATTCAGCTGTCCTCCTAATTCTAATATGATCATAATTTTTAAATAACTTCTATAAAGGCTCTCCAAAGCTCTCAACTTACTTGTCCCAGGGAAAAGCAAAGCTTTCCTTTCATGCAATATTTTACCTCCTAACCTATTGCTTAATTATGTAATTAAAGTAACTAGTAAACTGTATAAACTAGTAAAGTAGTGAGCACCACATACTACTCTGGGAATGAACAGCTGGGTCTTTGTCATCATAAAATCCACAAAGTGCTGGAAATATCGTGACATCCTGGGCAGCAGGCTACCAGCCTCCAGGCTCCAGTGTCCCTTGGTGCCAGTGGTGAGTTTTACAGAGGATTTAGAAACAAACTTTGGTGAGGTCAGCAAACTTTTACAGTAAATGTTTAGCCCCACAGCAAATGTGTTAGGCTCTGTGAGATCCACTATCATTGCAGTGGCTACGCACAGATGCTTTTATAGTTCAAAGCCAACCATAGTGAAGGGCTGTTCATAAACGAATGGCCATGACTGTGTTCCAATACAACTTTATTTATGGGGCTGGCATTGTGGTGTAGCAGGTAAAACTGCCACGTGCAATGCTTGTATCCTATATGGGTGCTGGTTCGTATCCTAGCTGTTCCAACTCCAATCCAGCTCCCTGCTAATGGCCTGGGAAAAACAGCAGAAGCTGGCCTAAGTGCTTGGGCCTCTGCTGACCACGTGGGAGACCTGGAAGAATCTCCTGGTCCCTGGCTTCAGCCTTGCTTAACCCTGACCATTGTAGCCATCTGGAGCGTTAACTAGTGGATGAGAGATTTTCTCTCTCTCTCTCAACACTGTGGTTTGCTGACCTCGGAACTGGAGAATGCTGGTTAAATCCCCAAATAGGTTAAATGGAACAAGTAAAAAATGCTATAATCTAGTACAAGTGACAAGAAACCTTTCACTTGTAGGCGTTAATAACATAGCAGACATGCTTAGAGAATGGTTTCACCCACATACTCAAGTTGAGGATAGGATTTATATTTATCATTTCATTAAGGAGATGGTGTGTGTAACGGTCAGCTAGACTATCTGGGGTTGAATCTTGGTCCACCATTTAGTGGCTGTGCAACATCTGGTCAGTTAATATCCCTGTGCCACATTTCCTTTCAGAGTCCTCATATAGAAAGTCTGAGTAATGCTTGTTTCAAGTCATAGGATTATGGCCAGGCTCAGTGACTTGATGTAGGTGGAATATTCCCAACAGAACTTGGGGAATAGTGGGCGTTCCGTAAACACCTGGTAATGGTGGTGGCAATAGTAGAGATTTTCCTTTGGCCTCTAGCTTTCTCTGCTCTCAGTATTCCTCTCCTCCCTCATGGCATCTCCTTTGACTCAGCTTATGCTTCCTTCTGGTTACCTAGCCCCTCTCGTTTTGACCTTGCTCCTGTTTCTACTTAATTTTTCCAAAGAAGTGTCCTATGTTCTAGCCTCTTTGGTCTACCTTTCCTAGTCAATATATTCATCTAATTTTACCACATTTCAGTAGAGAATTTCCATCTGGAGGACCATCATGGGGCATCTGGGCAAATTAATAAATGATGAGTCTTTTACTTGGGGAGGGGTGAGGGCTCTAAGGGCACAGAACCTGGTGAGTACCTCATGCCTTGGGGTTAATTACAGTGTGGTGACCCTCCACCCTAGGCCATTGCAACCTATGCCAGGATGCACAACCTAGCAAGCAGAGGGTATCAGCCCCCTCTGCCCTCTCAGCTGGGAGCCTTTGTCCCATTACTCACACACCTTAGGCTGTCCTCCTCTCTCTCTGCTTTGGAATATGGGACGGGAAGCACCAATTAAACAATTAATTACAGATGAATGCATAATGACTAATGGAGCTATAATATGCCCCCAGACATGAGTTTTATAGAACATATGCACTTATCTCCCCAAAAAAGGAGACATCAGAGGTTAAAAATGGATACTCTGCAGCCGGTCATGGTGGGGGGACATTTACAGATAGAACCGCCTTTTGCAATGTTCATACTAATAGAATACTCCGAGAATACTTAAGGAGCTTAGATCCACTAGTGCCACATTTCTGAACCTGGTAGAAAAAGATAAACGACGGTCTTTTTAGCAGTGAATCAGAGTTGAATGCACCTCGAACATCAGGCAGCTAGTGCTCCCTGTAGTTCTCACAATGGCGCCATTGTCTTCTGAGCTCATCAGCCTTGCGTTTCTGCCTTGCTGTTTAGGATGACCAAACCCCACTCCACATTTCAGCCCGACTGGGGAAGGCAGATATAGTCCAACAACTGCTGCAGCAAGGAGCATCTCCCAACGCAGCCACCACTTCAGGGTACACCCCGCTTCACCTTTCAGCCCGGGAGGGCCACGAGGACGTAGCCGCATTCCTCCTGGATCACGGAGCGTCTTTGTCTATAACAACAAAGGTACGAAAGCAAGTTCAGTAAGTACAGCAGCTGCCTTGGAATCCCAGCAAGTCATGGATGTGTTTAGGAAAACCCTGAGGCGGAAGAAGCATAGTTGGTTGTATTTTGTGGTATTTGTTTATTTGTTCATTAAGTTTCTTAGCAACTTCTAAAGAAGCTTTACTGATGCTGAGAGCCAGAGCTTTCTTAAAAGTCATTTTATATATTTAAATGGCAATTTGGAAACACAACGACATGTTTCCCTTGCTGAAGCTAAGTACAAACCACACTATCAAAACCCAGCTGGTAAATGTCTTTATGATACTTTGAAGTCAGGAGGTGAACTTTTCTTGGGTTGTTTTTATTTGTTGTGGTTCTTTTTGTTGTTGTTGTCTGATTTATGGCTTCGTTTTTTACCTCAACTTTGATGTCTTCGAGGAGTACCCTAGCATGCAGTTGCTCTGCATACACAGAACAAAAATAAAATAATTTTATCATATTACACAGAACATGTGATGGCAAGATGAATTGGCCCTTGATGTGTCTTTAAAAACTCTGAACTCTTATTTGGATGTCAGTAAGGAGGACTAATGTATAATCAGTGCAGAAAATGCACCAAAAACTATCCAGACAAATGATGATGATGGCTTCCTCAAACTTCATCTCTGTGATTCTTTGGACTGCAGATTCTTTGAGTCTCCTTTAATTTGTGAGACAGGATGTTGGGTGATGGGTTTGAGTGCCCCAGGCCTTCCACCATGCCTACTGCCCATTGGCTCTAGTTTGCCTCCTTATGAGGTCAAATGTATTGATGACCCTCCATTCCCTGATGCATACTTGGGACCCTCCTGAAGATTGCTATCCAGGTCTATATAGTAGTTGAAAGTTTGGGAGTATAGCCACTCAGCTCTCAATATCCAATTCCGGTATATGTGTTGGGCCAGAACCATGTGTCCTTACTCCGTTCACCTGTATCAGCAAAGGTGATAGAATTTCCAACTTTACCTACTGAAGACTGGAGCATCCATAAGATATGTGTATATATGGGGAAAGAGAAAGTGTCCAGTCTGGTGATATGAGACTGCAAGGCATCTAGACTTGCCCTGTATTTTCCAAAGGCATCCAACTTGGATGTGAGCTCCTGGAACCTAGTTTTCCTACAGTGTGAAACCCCAAAGTGGCCTTGGAATGAGCCCTAGAGCCATCCCCCCAGCTTCCTCCTGGTGAGCTGCTAGTTACATGTTGTGGCTCAGTCAACTGAGGGAGAAATATGACATACCCGAGTATGTTCTGCCCATCCTTGTGTATCATTTCCATCATTCATTATTTTTGTGTCTCTTTTTTTCAGAAAGGATTTACTCCCCTTCACGTGGCAGCAAAATACGGGAAGCTTGAAGTAGCCAACCTCCTGCTACAGAAAAGTGCGTCTCCTGATGCTGCCGGAAAGGTACGAGGTCATGGCCACCCTGCAACTGGCCACTTCCCTGGTAACCAACCAAACTTGCACTTGCTAATATTCACCAACAGCCACTCACATGATAATCCACGTTTAACTCCTACGAGGATGAAGAACACTTGGGAGACAGGAGGTGAGGGTGGGGTCTAAGTATTGTGGAACTTGGAATGCAAACTGCAGTCTGTGTTGTATGCAGTCTAACCGCATTTCCTCAATCCAGGCATCTGGTACTGAGACACTGTTGACCCTGGTTGTTGTTTCTGCACGTGTTTTCAGAGCGGGCTAACTCCACTGCATGTAGCTGCACATTACGATAATCAGAAAGTGGCCCTTCTGCTTCTGGACCAAGGAGCCTCACCTCACGCAGCCGCAAAGGTACCCGTAATTCACAGCTTCAGGAGAGCAGCGGGCACTGTCCTCTGGTCTCTGAATGCACATCTACTTTTTGCTTCATCTATTTCACCCTGCTAGGGCAGGTAGCACTTAGAAATCATACCTTAGTAAATCTTAGACCGGAACTTTGTCTCTTTAGTCAACTAACACCATAGATGTTCAGTAAAATAGGGGCTTGCCAGTTTCCTTTGAAAGTCCAGGACACCCTGAAGACTGTGGAGGAGGAAGAGATGGGGATACTTCTGGGCTGAGTTAAAAACATCAGCACATGGCCAGCGCCGCGGCTCACTAGGCTAATCCTCCGCCTTGCGGGCAACGGCACACCGGGTTCTAGTCCCAGTCGGGGCGCTGGATTCTGTCCCGGTTGCCCCTCTTCCAGGTCAGCTCTCTGCTGTGGCCAGGGAGTACAGTGGAGGATGGCCCAAGTCCTTGGGTCCTGCACCCCATGGGAGACCAGGATAAGCACCTGGCTCCTGCCATTGGATCAGTGCGGTGCGCCGGCCGCAGTGCACCGGCTGTGGCAGGCACTGGAGGGTGAACCAACGGCAAAGGAAGACCTTTCTCTCTCTCTCTCTCTCTCTCACTGTCCACTCTGCCTGTAAACAAATAAACAAACAAAAACAAAAAACACATCAGCACAGCCCAGAGGAGTAAGAAGGCTCTGACCTGTCAGAATTATACAAATTTGTGTTCTGTTTTCTTGGCCATAAAACATTGCTTTCAACTTGTTGGTGTTTCATAAAATGGGTTGAGAGGTGTTATATATGTGTTTTTATTATTGCTAAGAGGAATCTTTACTCTTATTGTTAGAACATTTTTGACCAGTAGACAACTTAGATTTCTGAGAAAAGACATAAATAGAGCATATAGCTGTGCCACTGCTCTGGTGTTCTGATTTGAGGGACAAATCATAAAGAAGAATTTGCTTAAAGACAGAATAATAGAATGTTACTGGTTTCATAAGTTTGCTACTGTGCAGCAGGTGACTGTGATCAGAGAACACCGGAATGATATAAACCACAATCTAAATGTTTGCCGGTTCCTGCGCTGTTCCTATTGGTTGAAGGGCTGTTCGCACCTCTGACACTTTCTACCTCATTGTTTTGGGGCTGCTTCACTGCTGTTCTTTAAACTCAGTGCTTAGATCAATTCAGTTGCACGCACTACTCCATAATTGTACCCAGTGAAATCGACACTCCAAAATCTAACTCCTAAATCTGCTTTTCACATAAATGCAAATTTTGCCTCCATAATTTCTCACCCTGACATGTCACGACACCATGGTTTGCTTGATAAAATGTTATCTTAAAAATATATCCCAGCATTATTCAGAATGGCCAAAAGATCAAAACAACTCAAGTGTTCATCATGAGTGAATGGATAAACAAAATCTGTGTGTGTCTGTATATGTAACAGGATATTATTCATCCTTAAAATGGAAAGAAATTCTGATGTGTGTCAGATGACTCCTGAAGACATTATGCTAAAAAGGAATAAACCAGTCACAAAAGGACAAGTATTTTATTATACCACTTAAATGAGATATGTAGAATAGTAAACTTCATAGACAGAGGTAAAATGTTGGTTATCAGGGCAGAAGGGAAGAGTGAATGGAAGGTTATGTTTTAATAGGTATAGCATTTCAATTTGGGCAAGATGAAAAAGTTCTGGAGATGGCCCAGATGTTCGACAAGTAATACAGATGTACTTGTTGCCGCTAACTTGTACACTTAAAAATGCTTGCAATGAGAAATTTTGTCATGTATATTTTTCCAAAATTTTAAAGAGAAAATTTGTGATGGAATTAAATGGTTATTCATTTTTATTGCAGTGTATTTTAATAACCCTGTGCATGCGGGCTACATATAAGTAACCCCAGGTTAGGAAATGTAGAATACCAATTTTGGCACAATGAGTGCCAGGCAGTTCTGAATTTACAAGAGTTATAAAATAAGCGTAACAAAATGAGTCCACCTTTCTATCACAAGTAACTCTTAAACAGGTCAGTAGATGATATATTTGTAGTTGATTTCCAGCTTCATTTGACAAGCAAGAATTGGTATTCATGATTCCATATCTGCAAAAAATCAGGAACTAGAAAGCAGCCCTTTAAATAATTCCTTATTACTCCCATTAGCATTGGACTTCTCTTCCAAGGTCAATTAAACACGAGCTTTTGTAATGGGACATCGATTTTCATACCCCTAACACAATTGCCTCCATCGGAGTGTTGTAAATCTTATCGCTGGCGCTGGTCCAACCATCCCCATCTCCCAGGGCAGTGGCACAGGTCAAGTACTTTTTCTAGACTTTGATCCTGAGCAAAGTCAGGTAAATTAGTTAGGAAGCTCCTTTCTCGGCGAGAAAAAAGGCCTCGCTTCAGTGGTTTAAATTGCAGACTCCATTTTTCTCACGTCATCCAGTCAAGAGGTAGGCAGGGCCGTTGTTGATGTCGGTGTAGTGTTTGCAGAGTGTGCAGGAAGTTCCTGTGATTTATTTTTATGTTATTTTTATTTACTTACTTAGTTTGCCTTTCCCTCCAGAGGGCCTTGAAGCAGGCAGGGGGAAAGTCAGCACAATCGGGCTTTCTCAGAAGCCCCACCCCTCCACTTCTTTTTACACCTCATTGGCTGCTTGCAGCTGCAAGGGATTGTGGGAAATGTAGTTTTCCTCTGGGCGCACGTCCGCCTTTCTTTTAGCTGGAGAAGGTGAGGGGAATGCACGCAAGGGTAGGCAATCTGCCGCCTTTGCTGCAGGAAAACTCGGGCATCCCTGAATCACGGCAGAGATGAGAAGTGCGGGACCGAACCATCCTATACGGATGTGACCGCAGCGACCTCAGTTAACCTTTCTTCAAATCATATTCTTTGTCCTTTTGATTTAAGGTATATTGTGTCGTCATCCTAGGCTTCCGTTTTTTAAAATCGCCACCATAGTTTCTTACTCATGCATATCCCTGAAACATGTGATTTTTGGTAATTGGGTGCTGAGAAAGTAAATGGACTGCTATAATCCACTTTAGCCAGATCTGCTTCCCCAGGCAGGGCACCGTGCTGGGGAAGGGATTGGCTTGAGTTCAGGCATAGCCAGGACACTAACTGCAGAAGAGCTAGCCTTCACTTACTAGCTTAGTATTTCTCGCCCATAAAGTGTGCAGCATGTCTATTGATGTGAATCAGTATGTGCGCGACAGTTTCTGGAAAAACATACAAAATATGATATAAATACTACATTTTAATTTTGACAGTTTAACATTACATTTGGTTTTATTTTCACTTTGAAATGCAAAGGCACACATGGCAAGCACTTACAGTTGAATCTCACAGCTTTATTTTTCTCCTGATAAGTGTATCTGCCTCTTTGACTGTGGCAAGTGATAATCATGTTATTTCCAGAAAACAGAAAGCAGTTAGCAAATATAGAAGGTTCCATTGTGGGTCTCAAAGTTAACTTTTTTTGTTTGAAAATTTTCAGAAGTCTTTCTGAGATCAACCTTGCTTTATTTGTTTCTCAGGTAGGGATCTCAGAATGAATCCCTAAGCAGCAATGAGTAATTTATCTGCTATTAGCATGCATCACAGAGATGACAGATCTTCTTTAGTTTTGGGGGATGTACAACTTTTTTTAAAAACGGAATTAGAAGTAATCAGGAAGACTGTCACATCTGAGAAAGCATTGAGTTGCCTTACCGTGGTTAGGGATGGGGAAGAGATGAATTTGAAGTTGTGTCATTAGTAAAAGCAAGAAGAGATAAGATGCAGGCTAAGAAGCTAAATTCTGCCACTATCTGGCCTCTACCACTCTAACTAGTTAGTGTTAGCATATTGACTAATCATATTTCCTATGTTAGTGCTGGCTTGTGCCCTCTTTTGTATAGGGGTGTGGGGTGTTCACTCCCTCCTCTCAATCATTGTAGAGTAGGGCTCAGTCTGAAGCTCAGCTTTGGTCTCTGAAGGGTGTGTCTGGGCAGAGGGACAAATGCTTCCCAGGGCAGCTGGGGCTTTCAGATGGCAATAGGTCAAAACTAAAAATAGGGATATAAAATCTCCTACCCTGGGTCATCCAGTTTGGCGGGGGCTAGTTGCAGAAGAGTGGAGAAGTGACATTTCCACTTTCATGGCTTGATACCTAATAACTTAAGTCCTCTACAATCAGTTGCAGGGTATTTGTCAACAAAGAAATGCTGTTGGACTAGGATGTGCCAGCGACTTAAATCCAGGGGTTAACTGTAGCAAGCCAGCTGATCAGTGGGCACAGAAGCCCCCAGAGTTCTCTGTGTTGTATTTAACACATCCACGTGAATCAGAAAGATTACAATTGATCCTTTGTCTAACCTTGGATCATGTCCCCAAATATAAGTTCTCAGATTGCATTTTCTTTCTCTAAATCCCCCTGTTTGTGTTTAAAATATAATTCTAATTTATCACTGTCATATTTTATATTGTCAGGTTCATGTCCATGTCTACGTGGAATCTTGTACTTGTCTTAAATGACCATGCTTCTTAATAAAATTCCTAGAGATAAACTAGGCGAAAAATGGGTGAGATTTTTACACTGTAATCCACAAACATTGCTTTGATAAATAAATGGACATGTAGATGGAGGAATGTAATGTGTTCATGGGTCAATATTATTATGATATCAGTTTTTCCTGAATTCTGTATGTGTGTGTGTGTGTGTGTGTGTGTGTGTTTCAATTCAGTTCCAATCAATATAGAAGCAGACACTTTGTGCAAACAGACATGATGATTTTAAAAACTCACCTCTCTGTCTCTCTCTCTCTTTCACTATCTAACTCTGCCTGTCCAAAAAAAAAAAAAAAACTCACCTCTTAAACATGCCACCTATCAACACTACTACATTAGAAATTAAATTTCTGGTAGTTGATCTTTGGAGTAGACATTCAAACCATAGTAGATGGCCATTAAATGGATTGTTACAACAATAAATGGCTCTAAACATGCCCTATTGGTATTCTGTTAATTCCTAGCAGGGTTTTCTCCTACCCCAAATTTAAGTGATTAAAAAAATAGAATTGGGAACCTACTAGTAAAACACCTATAAATGGGAAATCTGTGCTCCTTTTGGAAAACCAATAGTACTCTTGCTCTCTTGCATTACACTGGCATGTTAAATTATATTTTACCTATTTAGGAATCTGGGAGATAGGAAAGCTATTCCATTAATGACACTGCTTAGTTTATCAATGCCTGCTTACCTTATCATAATTTTTCAGACAATCAAAGAAAACCACTAGAAAGAGAAATATGTACGCTTTGAAAATGCACTGCACACATTTCTGTTTTGTTCCTGGGCATGTGACCGAGTGATTCATGTTGACAGAATGGTTATACGCCCCTGCACATCGCTGCCCAGAAGAACCAGATGGACATAGCGACAACTCTGCTGGAATATGGCGCTGATGCCAACGCAGTTACCCGGCAAGGAATTGCTTCTGTCCACCTTGCAGCTCAGGAAGGGCATGTGGACATGGTGTCACTGCTCCTCGGAAGAAATGCAAACGTGAACCTGAGCAATAAGGTAACTTTTTTTTTGCTCTGCAAAGCATATAAAACCTCATCACCAAGAAGGGTCACTAAGAATGAATGAGAAACCAGGATCAAAAAAAAAAATGTCAAAATATAATATTAAACAGAGGTATCTGCTAAAGTGTTGTTTATCATAGCAAAATCCTAGAAACAGTCTGCTTAAACAATGAGAGAATGGTAAATAAATAATTCTGTCATGCAGGTGAGTATATGTGCGTGTGACTGTGTATACATAGAGCCATAAAAACGAGGTCCACAGAGTTTTTAAGAGTAATGTGAATATCATTACTCATCATTACGGAATATAGCGACTAAAAAGTTGCAAATTGTAGCCTAGTTCTTTATTCCACAAAGAGTTTAGGGCCCTTACCTTTGCCTGTACAGTTTTTAAGTCTAGGTTACAAAGAGAAATTGGAAACTTTCAGCTAGTTCATTTCAGTAACAGAAATTTAGAGTCACTGTTTTATTGAATAGATGGAAAAAGCTAGTTTACAGGTCTAGTGTTTGTGGGAAAGTTGGTAGAACCTTCGGGAACTTCCCTAAATTCTTGAAGCACTCCACCTTTATATTTTACATCCTCATTATTTATGAAGAAACCAGAGTTTTGTCAAGCAAAGTGGATGTTTGTCCCACAGTTGACTAGAAACATGTTAATCACTCTATTGCTTCCCATTACATATAGTAAAGAATTCAGATTGGTCAAATTGTTTATTTGTATCTGCACAAAACAAAGGATAGATGTTTCTAAGTCTTCAGGAAGCCCGGTATTCCTGATAACCCACACTGCCTACCACTTAGTTTCCCTTCTGTTAGCTGCTAGCATAACTGTAGCATTTGTCATCCATAGCTCAGATATGGGAGTCGAGTTGCAAAATAGCAAGAGTTCCAGTGGGAGAAATAACAAGTGTGGTCTTTCTTCAGTGTCTGCAGGGGATTGGTTTCACAACCGCCTGCAAGTTCCAAGACCCAAGGATGCTCACGTCCCTTGTAGAAAGGGTCACAGTGTTTGTGTGCAACCTGTTTACATCCCACTGTGTACTTAAAATCATTTCTAGGTTACTTACTAGATCTCATAACAATGCAAATGCTATGTATCTAGTCACCATACTGTCTTGTTTAAGAAGTGATGATGAGAAAAATAAAGACTATACATGGTCAGTATAGACACGGGGTTGTTATTTTCCCCTCTGAAATTTTTCAATCCAAGATTAGTTGAATCCATGAATGCAAAACCTACCTATACAGAGGGCCAACTCTAACTTATATATATTTAATCTACGTGGCTTGTATTTTTAAATTCCAGAGGATCTGAGTCCTAAGTCTGATTCTTCCTCAAAGTGTTAATTGTGGCAGATTATGTAACTGCCCTGAGCCTCAGTTCCACCCTCTAGTAAGAGAAATAAGTGGCATTTTTAATCATGAGTAATTATCAAAATACCATAAAGATGTACAGGGAACTTCTGAACTCAAATTGGACTGTTGTGGCCTTCACATTATTTTTTGAAAACCTCTTTAGACAAACTACGTACATAAAAATTAAGTTTTGGGTAGATGTTTGGCACAGTGGTTAAGACACCACTTGGGAAGCCCACATTCCCACGTCCCCACATCAGATGGCCTGGCTTCAAGCCCTGGCTCCCCTTCCAGTTCCAACAGCCTGCTGAGGTGCACTGTGGCAGGCAGCAGGTGAAGGCCCAGTGTCTGGGTCCCCGCCATTCGCCTGGAGACTCAGACTGAGTTCCACATTCCTGGCTTCAGCCTGCTCCAGCTCTGGCTGGTGTGGTTATCTGGGGCATGAACCCAAAGATGTGAAATCTTGCTTTGTCTGTCTGTCTCTGTCTTTCTATCTTTCCAATGCATTTTTAATTGAAAAAAAGTATTTATATCATTTATCCTGTTTCACCTAAGAATGTTTGACTTTTCCTTTTGATTTAATCAATGAATGAATGGCTTGAATGTTAAATGACAGACACTGGCTAAATAATGATTGAATATACAATACTTGACTCTACAAGTTCACAGTGGTTTGACCTAGAGAGCCAAGAAAACAGAGCTTAATGCAGGATTGTGATGCTATTTAAGAGGTGAGCCATTAGAAGGTGTGCATACAAATGTAATTGGGGCCTTTTGAGCATGAAGAAGAAAGAGCAGGCTGGCTGAGGCAGAAGTGACCCCATACCGAGGGTAGGGTGGCTGAACCACGAGGGTAGCACAGTGGTGAGCAGAGCACACAGGAGATTAGGGCCTGTGCCCGGAATACGTTCCACAGCCTTTGCTGAGAATCCTCAGTGCAGTCAGAGTTTTGAAATGTCTCAAACTTAGAATAGGTGACCATGACACACTTTCACAAAATGCTATGGCTGAAAATACCGCTTCCTCCAAAGTAGAACATGGAACATTCTTACATGATGATGTCCGTGTTTGGGTGGTGCCAATTTGGGCCCTGGCTTATTTTTCTTGGATTTCAAGTGAATACATTGGTCTTGCTTTTCCTGTTTCCTCTTTTTTCAGTTGTGTGTGCCTCTTCCAACATTCTATAAACATTATTCAAAAGTCACCAGTGACTGACTCTGGGTCCTGTATTTTTTGTGATGGAATAGCAACCCCTAAGTGAATAAACGTTCTGCATCTAGAAGGTTCTCTACCATGCCTGAAACATCCTTTGAGTCTTTCCTTTCTCTGACAAATAGAACAGGCTGGTGTTCTCACTGCACACGTGCTACACAGGGCTAGAAGGGCTCCACGACTCTAGATGCTTACTTCTATGCTCATAATGGATGAAAGAAAATAATCAGTACCGACACTAATTTACTCTTTTAACTGTGATTTATGGGAAAAACTGCTTTATAACTGTAAATTTTTTATGAATCTGAATACAGTCTTAGTGAGTTTTGTCCTGTGGTTTGCATATCCTCTGGCAAGGTCAGTTGCAAATGTTTCATGTAGTTACACCTGGATACTATCTAAGTGACCTGCAAATTACCAGGTTCTAGTATTCACATTATATTTCCTAGACAATCTGTCCCACCTGGAAGCAATACACAGAAAAGAGTTGTCAGGCTCTGGGAGTTAAAATGGAGAAAGTGCTATCATCAAGTGTCAATATTCACTTTGTAAATAGATATTATTAAAATTTGGGCTGAAGATAGTGCCATTGGTAATGTATTAAAATTCCTGAATAATTTTGTACTTAAAGTCTCCAGTACTTGGAGATGAACACTGATATATGTACGTATGTATGATATGTTGTCTTGGATTTGCTTTAAAATACTGCCATAAAGATATGAAGTCAGGACAGAGATGGATGAAGCAAATGTAGGAAAACCTTGAACATTGCTCAATCTGAGATGAGTGTATAAGGTTGACTCCATTCCCTCTGCTTCTGAGTAGGCTTGGACTGTGTCATTAAGCCTGCAAACAGACAGCAATGGTAAGAAAATATTAATAGAGTACAGTACATAAATATATTCTTAGATTTTTTTTAACACAGAAGTTGGAGGTTTACAATCCCGAAATTCACACTTTCTTAACTCTAGCCGTGCGTAATGGATCTTCCTTCCTATAATGTGACTGTGGACTTCTTCTTTTACAGAGTGGCCTCACCCCACTCCATTTGGCTGCTCAAGAAGACAGAGTGAATGTGGCTGAAGTCCTTGTCAACCAAGGGGCACATGTGGATGCCCAGACAAAGGTACGTGCCCCTCCCTTCCCCATGTAAAAATCACAACATGTCCATCTCAGTGCCTTCCTGTATGGAAACAACTACAATTCTATAGGAGGCAAAAACAAAAACCCTGTAATCATATGTTTTCCACGTAGTACATCAAAAGTATTTATTCAAAGTCTCTGGTTGTAGAGTCCCAAATAGGTTTGTCTTTGTGGCCTGTTCCCTGTTTCCCAGCTGCACGTCCATATGCCCTGTGTTAACACAGAGCCTTGTTGCATCAGATCTGCCCTTCAGGACAGGAGAGTAGAAGCTTGTGCCTGCCTTAGTTTTTGTGGCTGACTTGTGGAATGCAGGCTAGTGGAGCAGGTGTTTGGCTTAGCAGTTAAGATGCCTGCATCCCTTATCCAGGTGCCTGCCTTTGGATCTGCCTGGCTTCACTCCAACTTCAGCTTCCTGCTAATGTGCATTCTAGGAGGCAGCAGGTGATAGCTCAAGTGTTTGGGTCCCTGTTGCCTATATGGGAGAGCTGCACGGAGTGCCTGGCTCTCGGCTTTAGCTTACTCCAGCCCCAGCAGTTGTGGGCATTTGGGTAGTGAACCAGTGGATGGAAGATCTCTGTCTCTGTCTTCTCTCTTTCAAATAAATAAATAGTTTAATATATGTAAGAAGAATTGTATATATGTAAATAATATTTATAAGAAAGGAGAATTGTATGTATGTGCCATGTGTGACACAAAAACAGAATGCCTATGAACTACTATGCTGTGTGGAAAAAGCATTCTTGTATCAACTGTAGACAGGTTCTGAGGTATGTGAACACAATAAAGATATTGCTAATGTATAAGTGTCACCAGGAATTAGCCAGGCAAAGAGATTTTGCAGATATAAAAATAGACTGACTTTTGCTGATTTTCTTTATTTTGCTTGAATTCTTTCAACAAAAATGAATTCTGTAATATGGAAATTTGCATTCACACGGTAAATTTATTCTCTCAGTATTTACACACACACACACACACACACACACACACACACGGGCAGGCAGATGGGGTGAGACATATATACTTTATTAGGTTACCTCTCCTTTTATAGATGTAAAATTCTAAAAGGCTGGATCGGATCAAATGATCAGTCCATTTCTGCCCCAACACATCCAAGGCTTGTATTCAAGTTCAGCCAGGAAGAATGCAGATGGCTTCCGAGACCCAGTGAGGGGACGGGGCTAGAGCCCCACACCCTTCTGTCTCAGTCTGCACACAGGACTCTCTCTTTGTAAGAGCATAAGTCTCTACCAGGGTTTCCTCCAAACCCAGCCCAACTCAGTCTGTAGCAGACATTTTTGCACTCAGTGTCATGTTTTGTGCCTTTTCCTGCCCTATACAAATGAGGCACATCATCTCATTTCAGGAAGCATCTCTCTGCCTCTTACAAATTGTTTTTCTTTGCTTTTTCTTCTCAAAGATCACAGCCACCTAAAGGAAGAGAGGCTGTGATTGTCCCATTAGTAGAGTAGAGCCAGCGTGCAGAGAGAGGTTACATGCACCTGCTGTCTAACTTTGCGGATAAGGAATTTATTGCAGCCCACGGATTTTCAAATCTCACTGATAGAGAAGACATTCCCGAGCAGGCATTTAACCTAGCAATTAAGACTCCAGTTAAGATGCTTACATCCCACACTGGAGTAACTGGTTTCTAATCCCTGCTCCAGCTGCTGATTCCAGCTGCCTGCTAACGCAGACTCTGGGAGGCAACTGGTGACAGTTTGTGTAGTTGGTTTCCTGCCATCCATGTGATAAACCTGGATGGAGTTACTGGCTTCCTGACGCCAGCCTGGTCCAGCCCCAGCTATTGTGGGCATGTGGGAGTGAATCAGCAGATGGGAGCTTTGCCTCTTGTTCTAAGTCTCTCTGCCTTTTAAATAAATAAGCAAAAAGGGGAAAACATCCCCAAGCCGTCTTCAGGTGGCACACAGACCATTCAATTCATTGGCTGAAATTACAAAATAATGATGATGAGAAGATCAAGGGCTCTTTTTTTTAAAGATTTATTTATTTGTTTGAAAGTCAGAGTTACACAGAGAGAGACGGAGAGGCAGAGAGAGAGAGCGAGAGCAAGAGAGAGAAAGGTCTTCCATCCACTGGTTCACTCCCCAAATGGCCACAATGGCTGGAGCCTCCTCCAGGTCTCCCATGTGGGTGCAGGAGCCCAAGGACTTGGGCCATCTTCTGCTGTCCCAGGCCATAGCAGAGAGCTGGATCAGAAGTGGAGCAGCCAGGACTTGAACCAGTGAAGGGCTCTTTTCTCTTGTGAGGAAGAGACCAGAAAATCCTGGTCCCAGCATTGCAGCTTTCCCACAGGTGTGCTGACCCTTTACCCTCCCTCTCTCTTTGCACTTGAGGTTTACCAAAGCAGTTGATACTGAATTGTGCTGCTGCTGGCCACAGGGTTGAATGGTCAGGACTGAATAGCTGAGATGAAGCCCCAGCTCCTGCTTTTGAAATGAACAGCATCCTGAAGCATTTTATCTAGACCAGTCCCAAAGGCATTGATTCTTAGAGGGTGCGAACCAGAGAATTCATGGTCACATTCGATTTCTTTAAGGGTAGGTGAAACCAGGAAGAGTTTTGAGAACGTATCGATCCTTACTCACTTCACATCCATCGCTAGGCTCCTGATAGTGGCCCGATTCTTAACCTGAGTGATAGCCACGTGCCCTCATGAAATTCAAAGTCTAAACAGTGAGACACATCATCATAGCACTGATAAAAAGCATAGAATAATAGCTAAACTTATGACCCATTTTCTCTGTACGTCACATGTGCTGATATGTTGAATTCTTACAATTACCCTGTGAAGGTGGCAAAGTTAATATCCCTGTGTTACAGCTGAGGAAGCTGAGATGCAGGAAAATGGATTGCTTGCATAATGTCCCATAGTCATTGCAAAGCCTGTTTTTTTTGTTTTTTGTTTTTTTTGTTTGTTTGTTTTTGTTTTGTTTTTTTTTTTTTGTTTTTTTTTTGTTTGTTTGTTTGTTTTTGTTTTGTTTTGTTTTTTTTTTTTTGACAGGCAGAGTGGACAGTGAGAGAGAGAGAGAGAGAGACAGAGAGAAAGGTCTTCCTTTGCCGTTGGTTCACCCTCCAATGGCCGCCGCGGCCAGCGCACCGCGCTGATCCAATGGCAAGAGCCAGGTGCTTCTCCTGGTTTCCCATGGGGTGCAGGGCCCAAGCACTTGGGCCGTCCTCCACTGCACTCCCTGGCCACAGCAGAGAGCTGGCCTGGAAGAGGGGCAACCGGGACAGAATCCGGCCCCCGACCGGGACTAGAACCCTGTGAGCCGGCGCCATAAGGCGGAGGATTAGCCTAGTGAGCCGCGGCGCCGGCCCACAAAGCCTGGTTTTGATTTTATCTTTGTATAAAATGCTGGAAGACCAAGAAAATCTCAGGGGATCTTCACGTATCAAGCGAAGCCGGGCCACTTTTTCTCCTGTTCGCACTTGGAAGTCCCAGGTTTTACACAGCAGAGTGCTGAGACCGGCAGTGTGCTGTGCAAACATCCTGGAAAGCAGTGCAGAGATAAAAGAACCTGGGACAGGAAGGTGAGGCTGTGGCTGGGGTCTGCTCACGCCACAGCTAAGTGGTACTCGGGACGTCCATGAACGGCCCAATAATTGAGGAAATACTGACAGGCTGCGAGGCTTGAAGACCATGCGTTGCGGGGGGGACCGGCGAAACATGAGAAACTCAGGCTGTATCTAGGGCTCTGACCTGTGGACCGGGGTGCTTAGTCACGAGGACCCACTGGTGAGACGGGGGATTAAGGAGCAGCGGCTGGTGGGGAAAGGAGACGGTGAGATTAGCATCAGTGGGCTTGTCGAGCAGTAGGTGACCCAGGCGCCACCCAGGGCAGAAAATCCAATAAAATGACTAGCGTGCTGCCCTGGGATGGAGGAAGGGGGCTGGGCTAAAGATCTGGGTTTGAGAGTCAGCAGAATAAATGTAAGCGTCAAGGTTATGCACGTGCTGTGATCAGTGAGGCACAGTGAGGAGCAAACCAAGCCACATCCCTTGGCGTCCATATTTGGTAGTGGATGGAGGAGGGGGAAGAGAACCTGGCCCAGAGCAGCAGGAAAATCAGGGGAGAGTGGGATATGGAACCCCAGGTTATGAAAGACTGGCAAGGAGGGCATTTCAAGTCAGAGAAGCACAAAGCCTGGGCAGTGAGTTGGCACCAAGGGTGTTAGAAAGTAACTTCATTAGCTTAGTAGAGATGGTGGGATGGAGGGCAGATGGTGGGATGGTGGGCAGATGGGAGCAAACAGTGAGGGAAGGGAATTATTTTCAGAAAACTAAGTTATACTATGACGATAACAATAGCCAAAAACAAAAAGAGAAATACTTGAAAGGAGTGCTTTCCAGTTCCGTGATTAGAAAAGTAAATGGGAGGGGCCTCAGATTTGTGGGAAATGCACGTTATACAAAGCTGTGTGTTGATTCCAAAAGTTTTTTACACAGAGATAAAATTCCAATTTTTTCCACAAATTTTTAAAGTATATCCATAAACTAAGAGGAAAGTGCCAGAAGAAAGGACAAAGGTGGATGAAGTTCTGTGAGATGTCAGAAGTAGGACAGGCTGGGCTACCGTGAGAGATGGCAAGTTACTTGCGGTTCTCTTACCATTATGGAAGTAATGCTGATTTCATAATCTTTGCCTTTTCTGCTACATCCAAGTTTTTTTTCCCAGTCGATTCTGAGTCTGTTTGCTCTTCCTGCGCAAATAAGAACCTTTCAGTTCAGCAGGGAGCACACAGCCATCCCTCTGGGTCTTTTCCCAGTCCTCTCTCTGAGTTACTCATTTTCCAAAGACTGAGTACGCACGATAGGCCAGGCGCTATTTTGGGCATGAAATAATAGTAGCTACCACTGCGTGTCAGATACTGTGTATTTGCTAACATGTTTAATCCTATGACAATACTGTGACAAAATTCCATTATGTAATGCTTCAGCCAATGCACAGGGCAGTTCAATAACTTTTCCAAAGTCACACAGATAGCCAGCGGCACAGCTGGGTTCCAGATCCAGTGTGCTTCAGCCATGGCACCCCTTCGCTCCTCTTTTTGAGCAGTCAGAAGATCAGTGGGTAGATAGGAACACCCACGACTTGGTAATAAATAGGAAAATACCTGAAGGAATGTCATCACAGAATCGGGATATGTTTGCCAGGATTTTTTGGGGTGAAGCGAAGACTGCTCAGTCATCTGGGCTATGGCTTTGTTTGTTTGCTTGTTTGTTCAGATATTCAAGAAAGAATAATAGGTCTTTCCAAAATTTATTACTGCTAGTTGGAAAGAATTTCTCAAGTCTTATCTCTCTGGTTGTGTTTGTGCAAGGTGCCATTCTAAATGAGAATGCTGTGACCCCATGAGTGGATGAGTCCACATCTGATCACTCTGAATATAAATTGAATCTTTTTGGCCTTTCCTGTGTGTTTGTCATAAAATGCTTTAGTGGAACAGAGAGAAGACCAGCATCCTATAGCACAATGACTAAGGGAGATGGAGGGAGATGAGCTCAGAGTATTCATGGAGAGTGCAGAGGGAACCAGAATCAGATAAGCTGCAGTAGTCCATTTTAACAGCTTAGGGTTTTACTAAGAGTGACATGGGAAACTATGAGGATACGTGGGAACCATACTTTACATGAAAACAATTGAAGTATATTCTAAACAAATACAGTTCTTCCATTTAGCACAGAAGAACTTGAAAAGCTCTTTAATATTTAGATTTTTCAAATATTTTCCTCATTAAAAATTGTTTCATTTTATTTGAAAAGCAGGTTCACTCCTCACATGCCCCCACAGCCAGGTTTTTGGGACAATGTTGACCCCCACTGAACATGGGGATGATGTAACTTCAAGCAGTTAAACTGAAGGACTGATTGTGCAAAGTGTTAGGACGCCCCCTTTAGAAGCAGCATTCTCACCACAGGTCATGTGTGAGCTACTCAGTAATGGGAAAGAAGAACCCCGCAGAGCAAGCAGATAGCAGAGGAATTTGCTCCATTGTTCATGAATTGGCTTCAAGAGTTGTCAGTCAGTCCCCCATGTCTGAGTGGTTATGATGAACTTATCATAACCTGGTCAATGTGAGTGTGCTGATGGTTTGGTTCATGGAGCAGAATCTGACTGGAGTCAGCCCTCCAGGGCAGTGCACTCCTGAGGAGGTATCTTGACCTTCCACTATTAGCTGTCGTCTGGACACCCCCTTTTCAAATTCCATGCCTTCATTTGCTGGAACCCCCATAGCCACCCACAAGTGCCATCATACGAGAGATACACACTCCTGAAAACATGGGCCCCCAGCTTGTGGCTGTTTAGAAATGTTGCCATAAGCAGTCAGTGTTTTCCTTTTGGTGCCCTGGTGTCACCCAGGTCATCACAAACGACAGCTGTACAGGGTCTCTGAGAGTGTGTGCTGGTGTCTGTTACCATGAACATGGCCATCTAGGAAAGGATCCAGAATATCCTTACTTTTAAAAATACTTATCTAAATTTTTATGTATACGCACACATATTGACATATATAACACACAGAGATTCAACTTATATGCACAGAGATCAGATTTGGACTTGCCCATTCACGGGGTGCCTTCCTGTAAATACAAGTAGAAGGAGAGTGTTCACAGGAATATACGTGCTTGTAGCTCCTCAAGCGTCAGTAGATGTGAATTTGAGAAACCTTTTTCTCTCAATCAGTGGTTTTCTAATTGTAGGACTCTAGTTAGGAAGTCAGGAAACTCAAAACCCTGCCTTCCTTACTTGTTCACTTGAAACACACAGAGACAGGCAGAAACAGAGAAAGATCTTTCATTCACTGGTTCACTTCCCAAATGCTCGCAACAGCCAGGGCTGAATCCAGGAGCCCAGAAGTCAGTCTGGGAGTCTCACATGAGTGGCAGGGACATAACCACTTGGCGTCATCACCTGCTGCCTCCCAGGGTGCACACTGGCAGGATGCTGCAATTGGAAGCGGAGCCTGGACTGGAACCCAGGTACTCTGCTATGGGACGTGCCAGAAGTGCGTGACCCAGAGCAAGCACACGCTTCTCGGACCAGCTGAACCACACTAGCTTCTTCCTACTTTGTGTTCCTGTGCTTCTTCCTGTCTCTGTCATGCCTACTGACAGTCACGGCTGCCTTGCATTGTCATTTCTTCATATTTTCTGCCTGCATTGTAAGCTTTTGGACAGTAGAGTGTTGAATCAACTGTAGCTGGTCTGTCCAGAAAGCACCCTTTCGACCCTCAACAAGCAGCCACCAGACCAGTCTGTCTAGGCTGTCGCTTGCTCCAGTTTCCATTTGTATCTTAAAAATTTGTTGTCTGAATAAAATGAGATAATATGAGAGAGAGCACTTGGAAGTTAAATACCTATTTGTATGTGTGATGGTATTGTTACTTCTGAGACCAGCTCTGAGAAATATCATGGGCACTTTTCTGGGGATGGAGGAGGGAAAAGAACTAGTTTTTCCTGTTCATAAATAAAGATGAAATAATTCAGCTTCTGTTTAGGAGGATTAAAGTATCCTTATGATATGTGAGTTTTAACAAATGTGCTTACAGATGGGATACACACCGCTACATGTAGGCTGCCACTATGGCAACATCAAGATCGTGAATTTCCTGCTGCAGCATTCTGCGAAGGTGAACGCCAAGACAAAGGTGAGCGCCTCTCTTTGTTTCTGCCGAAGGATTGATGTGTGTGGCAAAGGGACAGTCATTTCTCCTGCTTTCCTCTGCAGAACGGGTACACGCCACTGCATCAGGCAGCACAGCAGGGACACACACACATCATAAACGTCTTGCTGCAGAACAATGCCTCCCCCAATGAGCTCACTGTGGTAAGAGCAGAAGGCGAGCCCGAGGGAAGAGGGAGGAGGTAGATCGGACTCTCGGGTCCTCTTAGGCTTCCATTGTCCACCGCGGTTGCTTTTTTTACTGTCCCTACAAGGCATTAAGAGAACATTCGGTAGAATGAGGGGAAAAGGACAATGACCATAGCATTGTGAGCTGTTCCGAGAGACATATGATCACTGTTTGATACTTTATTGCATTGCCACCTAGTAGGAAGTACATCTGTAAGAAAAAAAAAAGTGTCTGTTTCGTTGATTGCTGACTGAGAACATTGGGAAGCCTCTTGGGTTCCACGTGTAGCTGCCCAGACGCCGCTGTATTAGTAGAAACAGGTTAGGTGGGTTTTGTGCAAGGCAGTGTCTAAAGAAACAGGTTTCTGTGCCCGACAGTGGGATGGGTCTGATGAGACACTGAGCTTGCATTTGTATAGGCGAACCGTGTGGAGTAGGGCTTGTTAATCCCCTGTGCACGTTTTCCTGTTGCCAGAATGGGAATACTGCTCTGGCCATTGCCCGACGCCTTGGCTACATCTCCGTGGTTGACACTCTGAAGGTGGTGACTGAAGAGACCATAACCACAACTGTAAGTAATGGGCGGAGCACCTTGCTCTCCTGTGGTTTATTCATGTATTTGGAACAGAGTTACAGAGAGAAAGGGAGGGAGAGGGAGAGACTGTGCATCACCTGGGTCACTTCCTAGATGGCCACAATTGACAGAGTTGGGTCAGGCCAAAACCAGGAGCCAGGCACTCCATCCTGGTCTCCCACATGTGCAACAGGGCCGCAAGCACTTGGGCCGTCTGCTGCTGCTTTCCCCAGCCCATTAGCAGAAGCTGGAGCAGAAGTAGAGCAGCTGGGACTCGAGCCAACACCCATGTGGAATGCCAGGTTTACCCTTGGTGCCACAACGCTGGCCCTCAAAATTTGAAATATTAAAAATTACCTTTTATAAAGTCGTATTCAAAACTATAGAGTTGTTTGTTCTGTATTAATTGTATTAATTGTATTGATTGTGTTTTGATAGGAAAATCCTTAATAAAAGGATGGTGAAGAAAGATATGTTTTTAACATCCCTTTCTTAGTAGTGTAAGAAAGGTGAAAGGTCTTAGTTCCTTAAAATATTTTCTTATACAAAATGATATGTGAATACATTATCATCATTGTAAAAAATTACTGATAACATTAATATTGGTTTTGAACTATTCTCTCTTCTCTTCTGCCTATTGGAATTTTAAAAATTGTTGAAAACTGTAGGAAGTTGATTAAAATTTGAAACAAATCTTTACTAGGAGATCCTATTGCATCAGAAACAGTTTATAAGCTGCAGCCTCTAGGGTAAATCCTTTCCCTTCAAGCACATTGGGCACAGTTGAACTTGTGTAACTTTGGAATCATGAACAGATATTACACCATATCTCAGGCTTATTTGAGTTATTCCTGACTTCATGACTCAACACATAGACGTGAGATTGACTCTGCACAGTGTAAGTTTACGGCTTGAAAACATGTGGAATTAGGAGTCCTCTCTCCTTTTCTCTTCTGCCATCCTACAGCCTGAAGGAAGGCATAACTTGTGCCTGAAAAACACTGTTTTCGATGTTTTACAGAAGAAACATGGGATAAATCCTCAAATGTTGCTTTCATGCACCTCTTGAGTATTTCATGATCTTAAAATCTGTTATTAAATTATCAACGATTGAAGCCGGTGCTGGGGCAGCGTAGGTTAAGCCTCAACCTGTCGCACTAGCATTCCGTATGGGTGCTGGTTCAAGTCCCTGCTGCTCCACTTCCAATTTAGCTCCCTGCTAATGTGCCTGGGAAAGGAGTGGAAGATGGCCCGAGTGCGTGGGCCTCTGTACACATGTGGGAAACATGGAAGAAGCTCCTGGTTCTGGGCTTCAGAATAGCCCAGCTTCAGCCGTTGGGGCCATTTGTGGAGTGTACCAGCAGATGGAAGACCTTTCTCTCTCACTCTTTCTCTCTGTGACTCTGCCTCTCAAATAAATAAATAATTTTAAAAAATAAATAATCAAGGCCGGCACCATTCTAGTCCCGGTCGGGGCACCGGATTCTGTCTCAGTTGCCCCTTTTCCAGGCCAGCTCTCTGCTGTGGCCAGGGAGTGCAGTGGAGGATGGCCCAAGTCCTTGGGCCCTGCACCCCATGGGAGACCAGGAGAAGTACCTGGCTCCTGCCATCGGATCAGCGTGGTGCGCCAGCCGCAGCGCGCTGGCCACAGCGGCCACTGGAGGGTAAACCAACGGTAAAGGAAGACCTTTCTCTCTGTCTCTCTCTCTCTCTCTCTCACTGTCCACTCTGCCTGTCAAAATAAATTAATAAATAATCAAAAAAGTTTAAACAAATAGTTTTTATACCTTAATTTTATAGCTATCCCATACAGCTGTGTATAGGATGGGGAAAAGGACAAGTGTCACAATGCTATAAAATATTTAAAGTCATTGCCATAAACATGTAAGACTTCTATTTTAGTGTTAGCAAATTGAAACTTGAATAGTAGTTCCAAATGTAAAACCTCATTTCATGGGATGTAAATGACTTTCTTACATATCAGAAAATTTCAAAATGTTTCTTTTAAATTGAAAACTTTTAGGAGAGGGTCCAATGCTGTGGCCGATGTTGTAGTGGGTAAAGCAGTGGGTAAATGCAGTGCCAGCATCCCAAATGGGCGCTAGTTCAAGTCTCGGCTGCTCCACTTCCTATCCAGCTCTCTGCTATGGCCTGGGAAAGCTGTAGAAGATAGCCCAAGTCCTTGAGCCCCTGCACTTGAGTGGGGGACCCAGAGGAAGCTCCTGGCTTTAGATGGGCGCACCTCTGGCTATTGCGGCCAGTTGGGGAATGAACCAGTGGATGGAAGACCTCTTTCTTTCCCTCTCTGCCTCTCCTCCTCTCTGTGTAACTCGGACTTTCAAGTAAATAAATAAGTCTTAGAAAGGAAAAGGCCAGCGACGCAGCTCAATAGGCTAATCCTCCGCCTAGCAGTGCCGGTACCCCGAGTTCTAGTCCCGGTCGGGGCGCCGGATTCTGTCCCGGTTGCCCCTCTTCCAGGCCAGCTCTCTGTTGTGGGCCGGGAGTGCAGTGGAGGATGGCCCAAGTGCTTGGGCCCTGCACCCCATGGGAGACTAGGATAAGCACCTGGCTCCTGCCTTCAGATCAGCGCGGTGTGCCGGCCGCAGCGGCCATTGGAGGGTGAACCAACGGCAAAGGAAGACCTTTCTCTCTGTCTCTCTCTCTCTCTCTCTGTCCACTCTGCCTGTTAAAAAAAAAAAAAAAAAAAAAAAAAAGGAAAAGAAAACTGTTAGGCAAAAGTAGAGTTATACGTAGAAAAAGTAAAATCTTCAGAAAATCCAAAACAGAGGAACATCTCAAGGCTCAGGTTCCCATCAGGAGGCGTCACTCGCACTGAGAAGTGCCGTTTGCACTCCTAGCATCCCCCGCTGCCCTGGCTGCTGTCTTTTCCGCAGCAGAGAAGACAGTATGCTTACTAACAGGAAAACATCAGATTGCCTCGTTAATGGAGAAAATGAGGCTCCCGCCAAATGCAGTGCTCGTACTGATTAGGAAGAGTCCATGGAAGTCCCTCATACAGTCCAGCATTGTGGAATTTGAGACTTTGTCCCGCGCTGAGACACCATCTTGTCAGCCTTGCTTTAGCAGTTAGGTGTAGATTAGCATAGACAAGATTGACGCAATGCAGGGTGGAGCCTGTGATCTTAAGCTCATAAACACAGGCATGATCTTTGTGCAGCCATTATCTCTGTAAGCAGACTGTGTTTCAAAGCCTTGAAGAGAAGAATGACTTTCCTTGGGAGCACAATGAATGATGTGGTATTTCTGAGAAAGACGCTGTAGTTAGTGTGATGACAATCATGGCGGTGTAAGAAACTACTGGATAGAAGCTGATTTATCAAAAGATATGAATCTTTTATTTTTAAAGATTTATTTATTTGAAAGGCAGAATGACAGAAAGGGAGAGAGAGGGAGAGAGAGAGAGATTCCGCCTGCCAATTTACTCCCTAAATACCCACAACAGCTGAGGATTGGGTGGGGCTGAAGGCAGAGCCGGAAACTCCACCTGGCACTCCCACGTGGATGGCAGGGATCCAGACACTTAGGTCACCTTCTGCTACCTTCCAAAGTGCATTAGCAGGGAGTTGATTGGAAGAGAGAGAGTCAGGACTTGAATCAGGCACTCAAATATGGGATGTCTACGTCCTAAGTGCAGGCTTAATGTACTGCACCACACCAGTCTGAACATGTGAATCTTACCTGTGTAACCTGCACTGTTTAAAGTATCCGGTTCTCTAGAATCAATGAGCCCAGTCTCCGTGGTCACCTTGATATTTGTTGCTGATGCCATTCTCTAATAAAAGGAAACAGAGCTCCTTGAAGAGAGGCTGAATCTAGGATCAGGGCAAGAAATACACAAGTTGAGCCTGAAACTTCTGATAGAGCTAAAAATTAAGGAATACTCCCACCACTACCGAAAATAAATATATAATCAAATACAAACATATAATGATGGAGGTATGTCAAAGGGACATGGGAATCAATTGGGAGAGTTCCCAGTGGCAAAAACTAGAGTGGTTTGAGCAAAAATAACTAAATAAAATAGTATTGAAGAATAGCACAAAGTCAAATATCCTTGAATCCATACAGATAAAAATAAATGATTGAAGGACCCACTGTGTTGCAACAGGTTAAGCTTCCACCTGCAACACCGGTATCCCATGTGGGCACTGATTTGAGTCCCGGCTGCTCCACTTCTGATCTGGTTCACTGTTAATGAGCCTGGGACAGCAGCAGAAGATGGCCAAAGTCCTTGGGGCCCTTGTCACTCATGTGGGACACCTGGATGGAGTTCCTGGCTCCTGGCTTCAGCCTGACCCAGCCCTAGCCTTTGCAGCCATTTGGAGAATGAAGCAGTGGATGGAAGACCTTTCCCTCTCCCTCTCTCTCCTTCTGTAACTCTGACTTTTGAATAAATAAATCTTTAAAAGATTCAATAAGTGGAAAACAAGACACAGATTTGTCAGGGACAAAGAATTCCAAAATAATTTACAGAAGTACTTCTTTCTCAAGAAAGTAAAACTGACGCATGGGTTAAGCATTAATGATTTCTCTCCAAGGAACCACTGAGGTAGGGGAAGATAAGGTAGCCATACAGTAGAGAAACCTTACAACCACTGCCTTGACCAGATGATCTGGATCAATATCCACAGTGAGAAGCCGTATGGTCAGTGGATGGTGTGTGTCCTTGATCCAATGGGGTAAAAATCATACTCACGTCTGCCATCTTCTTCCCAAAAACATATAATCCCGGTTTTATCATGAAAAGGGGAGAGGAATGAAGCAGACCACAACTGAGGGCTGTTGTACAGAATATCTCGCTGGTAGCTCTAACAACTGCCATATTCATCAAAAGCAAGGATTGTACAAGAATCAGCCAAGAGAAGTCCAGGGAGATATGGCAACAAAATGTAACATGGTATCCTGGATAGGAACTTGGGACATAAGGGTCCACTAGTCAAAAAAAAATATATATATATATAAATTTTTTAAAGATTTTATTCATTTGAGAAGCAGATTGCAGAGAGGTCTTCCATCCACTGGTTCACTCCCCAAATGGCTGCAACACCCAGAGCTGGGCTGATCCAAAGCCAGGGGCCAGGAGCTTCTTCCAGGTCTCCCATGTGGGTACAGGGGCCCAAACACTTGGGCCATCTTCTACTGCTTTCCTAGGCCATTAGTAGGGTACAGGGGCCCAAACACTTGGGCCATCTTCTACTGCTTTCCTAGGCCATTAGTAGGGTACAGGGGCCCAAACACTTGGGCCATTTTCTGCTTTCCTAGGCCATTAGTAGGGTACAGGGGCCCAAACACTTGGGCCATCTTCTACTGCTTTCCTAGGCCATTAGTAGGGAGCTGAATCAGAAGTGGAGCAGCTAGGATCCGAACCAGTGCCCATATGGGATGCTGGCACCACAGGTGAAGGCTTAACTTACACCAAAGTGCCAACCCCTAAAATATAAATTTTAATAATGTCTCAGTGTCAGTTCATTAGTCATGACAAATGTACCATACTAATTTAATATTCTAATAATAATGGAACTTGGTATAGGATACATGGGAACACTTTATCCTAGCTTCACAATTTTTCTGTAACTCTGAAAGTGTTCTAAATTAAAAGCTTATTTTTTAAAACATGCTCAGTTGCAATCCATGCTGCAAGAGGCACCGACTAATGCTCTTTTTGAGCCCAGTAATTGGGGCCAGGAGCTGTAAATCACATTTACCAAGAATAGGCCCTAAGAAACAATTTGTACCCTTTCTTAATTTTAACAACCTGGCTTTTCTTTTCCATTGTCTTACTGAAATGTGTATTTTATCTCCTGCAGTTAGTCTTTTCTATGCTCAGAATTGAAAATTAAAACGAAAGTCATGAAGAGTGTCTCATAAATGATGCTCTCAGTGACTTTTAGGTGGCTATACTCTATGTAGGTATAAAGTTATCAAAGAGTAAGTGGAAGAGTCAGTGAGGCCTTGGCTCGGTGATACACTATTCTTCACATTGTTTGCAGTCTAAAGTGATCCTGCGAATGCATGACTTCTAAAGTGCTTTTATACACACACACACACACACACACACACACACACAGTTGGGAAAAGTATGCATTTTATGCAGTTGCTTTGATTTATCCTAGGAATTAGAATAACACATAAGAGGAGAACACAGAATACGTAAAAAGCTCATCACAAGTAATACAGACGTATTCTTGCTGTGCCTTTGGCCTATCTTCAGTCAGAACCTTTATTGAAATGTGCTTGTAGATTCATCAGACCATGAAAAAGTACAGCAATGGTATAGGAGTGGAGATAAATTTTCCCTGCAAAAGACTTATTACATTCCTAAATCTTGGTTTCTTTAAAAAAGATTACTTACTTGAAAGGCAGAGTGAGAGACAAGGAGGGCGAGACACAATTACAGATCTCCCATCTGCTGGTTCACTCCCCACGTGGCCACATTAGCGGAGGCTCAGCCAGAGCAGAGGCAGAAGCCAGGAACTCCATCTAGGTCTCCCATGTGAGTGGCAGGGGTTCAAGCACTTGAGATTTCTTCCACTGCCTTCCCAAGCAAATTATCAGGGAGCTGGATTTGGAAGCAGGGTACCCAGACTTGAACTGGCACTCTGATTTGAGATGTGGGCATCCCAAGTGTGGCTTTTCCCACTGAGCCAGAATACCAAGACCTAAAGCTTCTAAGTTACTATGTTTTGCCACAAGAAGCCTCTCTCTGTGCATAGCTCTGTGCCACATATAAGGCCAGGACCTCATTGCCACTAAGAGACAACAACTTGGATGCTGTTGTATATGTGCAAGCTTCAAGATATTCAACACTTCAATCACACAAGAAACTTGCTGATTAATTTAGAAAAAAAGTCTTAATAAAATATATAGGCTGCTCATACTAACACAGCTTCCTTTTTTTTTTTTAACTAGACCATCACAGAGAAGCACAAAATGAATGTTCCAGAAACAATGAATGAAGTTCTTGATATGTCTGATGATGAAGGTATGAAAATGTCCTTTCAGTGCATAATAATTATGAGTAACTGTGTAGTTTTTGTTTCCTGGAGAAAAATTCATTGCAAAAATATTTTTGAAAATGTTGGGATGTTTTGTTGTCATATCAAGAGTATATGTACTTCGTACACTTATATTGTTCACTTAAATCATGCAGTGCGTAAAGCCAACGCCCCTGAAATGCTCAGTGATGGCGAATATATCTCAGATGTTGAAGAAGGTACTTGTACGTTTTTATTGTAGTGAAACTTAACTACCAACTTTATCTTTCACTTCTTATCTCTGAACATAACACTTTTACAGACGCTAACTTTTCATATTAATCTTGAAATTATTAATTTCTGTACCATTTAGAGAGTATATTCGGTAGTACTGATTTCTTTGAGTCATCTTTCCTTGAACCCATTTTCCAACTTCAGATACAAAAGCATAACTAATTACTTGGGTTATTTTCTTCCCACTTGTTTCTATCAGACAGAAAATTGACATTGTCATTGTTTACATCTGTACTCTAGAAAAGGAAAATTGATTAGTGTTTATAGTTAAAATATGATTTTAAATAAGTAAGAGCAGTCATCCTGACAGGTAAGGGAGAATAAACTCCTGTCTTTTGCAAGAAAATGGGTGCAGCTGGAAACCATTATACTTACTGAAATAAGCCAGTCCCCAAAAAGACAAATACCATATGTTGTTCCTGATCTGTGGTAACAACTAGAGTACCTAAAATGTAATGTATAGGAGTGAAATTGACATTTTGAGATTTGATGAGTGCTTACAGCTCTTGTCTCCACTACTTAGGAACAGTGTTTTTCTTACTATTTGCTGAACTCTACTTAGTGTAGGGTTGATCTTTTGAGTATAAAGTAAAGTGAAAGTAGATCATTGTAAAATTTAAGGCAGGGAATAAGAGAGGAAGGAGGAAGAAGGGTTGGAGCGTGGGTGGGAGGAGGGTGGTGTGGAAATTATTACTATGTTCCTAAATCTGTATATATGAATTACATTAAACTTATTTACCTTAACAATTTTTTAAAAAGAGATTTACTCTAGGTTTTATAGTAAAAGCAACTTTCGATGTCCAAATAAAAATGAAAACACAACCTGAACAAAACTGTTCAAAATACTATTTTTCAGTAATGATTTAATGAAAGAGATCAAAACATGATTGTAGCTATATTTCATCTGTTTAAAGAAGCTGTGTTCAGCCTTATTTAAGCATTAATATTTTAGCCAACTCATATATATTTATGAGAGACATGTTTTAAAAGGTCCATTGGAAAACTAACATTTTCGTAGCAAATCAATATCGTGAGGATGGTAGATTTTGATACCTTACTGGTGGAATTTATACTACATTTAAGTTTCTTCCTTGGATTGCTTGTCTTACCAACACTACCTTCTCCCTTATTCCCCCTCCATTTGCACCTCTCATGGAGTGTTTTTCTCTCAGGTTAGTCTTAGGGTCACTTGTCTGTTTTTGCCTTTTAGTGATCTTCCCTCTTTTCATTGTTGGTTCCCCCTTTTAATTAGGACAAATCTCCTTGGGAACATAACTAATGGAAAAGCCTATCTGATTCAAAGTCACTTTAACCTTTTTGACATCCAGTGATTGCCTACAGCAAGTGCGTTGTGGCTGGGGACTGCACACCATAAAAACTAATGTCCTGGTGGTCGTTCAGGGACTTGGGAGAAGCTGCCTATTATTTGTAAATGTTGTGATAAACGATAAAGACTTTTACATACTTTCTGTTTCTCTAAGACATCAGCTATTCATTTACCTTTTTTTCTATCCTCAAATGGTTGGGATTTGCATCTTCTTTAGAGCTTTTAGAATAATATGTCTCATAGTCATATTGCAAGACAACATTTCCGATTAATTTCTTCGATGCGAAAAGAAAAACGTTGTCCTTACAAGGATGTATACATACACAAACTATGATGTCAAAAGTTTGTTTTTTCAAATATAATAAGAGAGTCATAGACCTAAAAATCTACTGATGTTTTTATAAAATATCCAAAGTTAGCCACATCTCTAATGAGAGGCCAAGTTTGAATGGACAGCCTTATTTTGATAACTAGCCAAATAATTTCAAGGAAGAGAAGTTTTTAATTTCCAGATTTGAATGTAATTGATCAAGCTGTTTGGCTGGAAAGGACAATCATCTCCTTTACATTCAGCTCCCCTTAGGAATTGGAAATTAGCAAATTTTAATTCTCATTTTATCCATCTTTCTTTAAACTCTTGACCCTTACTTTATGGGTATGCCCATGGACTGTTGGGGTCAAGTAGCTTTTGATCATGATGTTGTAGAATTTAGTGTTGAAAAGGATTTGCGAACCATTACTCATGTCAACGTGCACTCAGTGCCAGCATCTCATCTGTTTGGAGCCCCTGTGCCTCTGTGACACAGACGGTAGAAATCCCCGATTCGCAAGCTGCCTGGTCCATTCCGGACAACTTCTTTAAAACATTTTCATTTTATTGAAGTTCCTGTAGCTTCTACTTATTGATTCAGGTGCTGATGTATTTGACCAGAGAGCACTAGTTTCAAACTGGTGTTTAGAGTAAAATCCACCTCTTCCATGTGGTATTCCTTTGGATATTTGAAAATACTTTTCCTATTTCTTCTTAGTCGTATTGTTTCCAGGCCTATCATTGCCACTTCCTTCTACCATTCCCCTCACCAACCTGGTCACTCTCCTGTGCATGTTTGAACTTGTCTGTATCCATCTGGAACTGAGATGGCCAGAACAGAACACTTATGGATCTATTGCTTTCTCCATGGAAGACATTAAGTCTCGTATTGAAGACCAAGATATTTCTGCGGTGATGGGAGACATTTAACTAATTATTAATATTACTATTAACTAAGGTCCCTACATTGTCTTTAGCTGAGCTCCAGCAAACCACATTTGCCCTGTCATGTATCTATGCTTCCCTGCAGACATTTGTATTTTTTTATTGCTGCAAATCCCAAAGCCAACCATTTTGAAATTGAATTCTAAAGGAACCCCTGCAATGATAATGATGGTTTTTACTTCCAGCTCATGTGTCTACTAGCCTCACCTGAGCTTTGCCATTTTAGTTAGATTTAGTGCTGCTGAGTCGGCCCTGATTCAGCTGTGGCATATGTTTATTTCCATGAAACCAAAGGCGGGTTAGGAATAGATCACTGTACACGAACTAGTGAGAAGTGATCCTGCTGGTAACTCTGGATCCTGGGGTTATCGGCAGCTTTTGAATGAAAAGAACAGTGATGAATATCTGCTGCCAGTTGACCTCGTAGCAACAGAGAGGAATGAGTTTGCAATGTGAAAAAATAAAATGTTAGTCCTAAATTACAAAAACAGAGTAAATATGAAGGGAGCAAGGCCAACAGTAGTTTTTTAGTTTTCATTTTCCTCTTTGCTTTCTCCTCCTCTCTCTTATCTGTGGTCCACTCTGAGTAAGTGAAAGAGTGCTTAGGTCCATTTCTTAGAAAAATTGAGGAAAACAAGGCTAGACAATGTTATCATTTAATGACCTGGGGAAGCAATAGAGTCAAGATACAGAGTAGAACAATGGTGGAAGTATTAGCCAAGTGCAGCAGTCCCAGAAAATTGCCAAAGAAACCTCATTTAATGCAGATTTAAAAACTCTGGCCTTGTGTAGGTGAAGGATTGGAAAAGCTCCTCAAAGGGGTAGGCAGACTTATGGGTACCTCAGTGTTCTACAGTCTTCTGACCTAGGCAGTATCACATTCATATAACAGTAATGCACATAAAAATTAATATCTTCAGTGTTAGTTAGATTCTGATGTTTTGCAATTCAGCTTATAAAATAAGAATAAGAGAGAGAGTGCATGAAAAGAAAAAGTAGGGAGAAGGAAGAGAGAACAGAGAGAGAGGGAAGAGAGCAAGAGAGAGGGAGAGAAAGGAAGAAAATTGAGATCAAAGTTCAAGTTGTCTTCTAGTTTCACGGATTTTCATGGTGCCAAATGTTCAACCCGGGCCTTAAATCTTAAATTCCTCAAAATGTATTTTCTAGGTTGAAAAAAAAGTACACAATAATATTTTAGCTTGCAGAATTGTAGTGAGTAAGGATATAGTTATGTATTTAAAGAACTGTAGATGGGCCGCGGCTCACTAGGCTAATCCTCCGCCTAGCGGCGCCGGCACACCGGGTTCTAGTCCCGGTCGGGGCGCCGGATTCTGTCCCGGTTGCCCCTGTTCCAGGCCAGCCCTCTGCTGTGGCCAGGGAGTGCAGTGGAGGATGGCCCAGGTGCTTGGGCCCTGCACCCCATGGGAGACCAGGAAAAGCACCTGGCTCCTGGCTCCTGCCATCGGATCAGCGCGGTGCACCGGCCGCGGCGGCCATTGGAGGGTGAACCAACGGCAAAGGAAGACCTTTCTCTCTGTCTCTCTCTCTCACTGTCCACTCTGCCTGTCAAAAAAAAAAAAAAAAAACCAAAAAAAAACTGTAGATGGGACATTATGAGAAATGGAATTCAGCCATGCAAACTGGAAACCAAAAAGGCAGCCAACTCTATGAAAATTGACTCTTCTGAATAGGTTTATGAGACAACAGCTGGGTCAGACAAACTCATGCTTGGAAGAACTGTCTAACTCCTAACTACTTAAAAATGTGATAGATCTGCAAAATCTTTCAAGATTGAAAGTAGACACTAAATAGTAAAAGAAAAAAGAGGCTAAGAGATCACCATCAGGTAGGTATAAGTTTGAGATACGATAAACCAATAAGCTTCAGCTATTAGAGTGACTTGAAGGGTAAGGAGACTAAGGCTCAGCTGACCTTGTGCCGGATTTGGTCCTCAGGGGAAACCATAGTAAGCTAAAGTCCACAGAAATTTCAAAGAACTAAAGTGGGAGGTTGCGGGTGTAGGCCACTCCTGCCCGTTGTGGAAGGTAAGTCTAAGTAAAGGCTGTTTGGTTGACCTAGCCAGGATAGTGACCAGCTGGATAAGAGGATGGATCTCACACTCCTTGGTTTTAGGTAATTTCTTTCAATGCTACTCTACCTTGACCTATTTTCATACATGCAAAATCCAAGAACACATTATTTTTAACTTCAAATAAAAGTGTCTAGTCAGGAAAAGGAATAAATCATGATCATGAAAATTATCACAAGGTAATCATAATTATTTTTAAAGATCTTTATAAGACTGCAGTAGAAGTACTATCACTTTCTCTATTTTATTTTTTTAAGATTTATTTGAAATTGAA